TGTAGTCTGGCAGCATTTCAAGTTTCCCCTGAGCAGGAGAGCCCGGTTTTGCGGGGTTTCGACGACGATAGGCATGCGGTTTGAGTTTAGCGCGAGCCGTGCTTTATGGTCGACCGTGGCACCGATAGGATCTCAGACCGGGGGGATCCCCCGCCAGTCTCCACGTGGTCCTCGTGCTGCCACGTACGGCACGCGTCGACCTTCGATTGGTTGCGTACTGTCGACATCGCGACAATGTAGGGCCGGGCCGGCCTGCATCCGCAGCAGCGGCTGACGTAAGTGGCGAGCAGCTTGGCTCAGTCTGCGAAAGGTCGAGGAAGCTGAGTACTGACGCTAGTCGAGCACTTTGAGTAGAGGGACAAGCCTTTCAAGACTTGGAAAACGTGCACTTGGCAATGCTTGTGAGGAAATCTTGCGTCCCCAATGTAGCTCCGCTGATGTTCCTGCAGTTCATGCGGTTGGTCGCGCAGATTCATCTGTAACTTGAAGCCAATCCTAGTAGCTGGTCATCGCTTGCGAGCTGATGCGATAGATGCTATCCTCAAATCCATGTGCAACTGATAGCTTTAGATATCAACCTGCAGGTACATTTGATCAGGTATATATCGATCCAAGGCGTGAAGCTTCAAGCGGATTGTGGTCCTCGTCATCCTCCAATAAAGCAGTTTCCGCCACCTTGTTCGCCTGGCCTGTGGCCCAGCACCGGCAGCCGATTTTGACCACAGTGGAGCTTTTTTTAACTTGCCACCGGTGTTTTTGAAGGGTGAGTCACTGATGAGCTGGAAGCCTACGGATTATGTAGTGGGCTGCTACTGAGTTCAAGGGGACAGCTTGTTTTTTGAGTCATGAACATGGCGTCTGCTGCTTGGCCGTGACCACGTCTTCATGTCACTGGAGCTGGCAACACTCTCACGTTTATGCAGACTTTTCTGAATTTCGTCTTCACAGAGTACAAGGGAGCTACTTTTGTTTCAAAAGGTGGGAACTAGCTTCTCTTCTACTATAATTCAGATGTACGGTACTAGTAGGACCAAGGAATCACCAATTCTGTTACCATTCTTGAAGAAATTCTCATGAGACTTGCAGGCCATATTTATACATAGCATCCTTCGACGAGACCTCAAGCGACTCCTCGACCGAGCTAAAAGCCATTCCCGATCTCAAGGAATTTCCCCCCCGTGTGACTCGTCCCTCTCTGACTACGAAATATACTCCAGCAGCACTGGCCTCCGTATGATCATTTAATGACTGCTAATCTCCCAGAGCAATAAACCTTTGTCGACGCTTTTCCAAGTCCCATGTAACATAGGGCCGAGCAGAATGCAAGACAGGCGTCTGCAAGAAAGCTCGTCGCAAGCAAGCCTGCGCTCAACCGGTCTCGCTTGCAGACCGCTTTGGGTGCAGAGATGCCTGGTACTCTTTTCGCCTGCCACAACCGTAGATTGCGTGTTGTCTTGTTCTCTTCACTAACGGTCCACTTAGAGCCCAAGTCGTCAGCCCATTACCAACTTGACCCCAACCTCTTCCATAATTCTGCCCTTGTCCTTTTCTGCAGGCCTCAGCTGATAGATGTCCATGGCCAAACCTCATTCAGGCATCCGTGACCTGGCGGCTCATCTTACTCAAGGCTGCCAGACGCCCGTCGAGAAAGCGGTCCGGATCCATGACTACGTCCGGGAGATTCCTTTTGGTTTCACAGCCTGGTTCGATGCCGCATCCCCAACCCAGACAGTTAAGGTTAACCGGGGGCACTGTAACCCCAAAGGCGCGTTGTTTGTGGAGTTGCTGAGGGAGACCGGGTTAGAGGCCCGGCAGCACGTGGTCAACATTGATAACCGGATACTGAGGGGCTGTTTCTCGGTCCCGCCGCCGAGCCCCATAACGCACTCCTATGCGGAGGTCAGGCTCAACGACCGGTGGGTTAAGACGGACAGTTACATTGTGGATACACAGCACTTCCGGGCCGCGAAAGCCCGATTGGAAAAAGAAGGGGAGAAGTTGGGTTATGGGGTGCACGCAAAGGGGACCAACGAGTGGGATGGTAACACGGACGCTTTCAGCCAGTTCGCCGACCCTGGGGGAATGCTCATCGAAGACATGGGCGTTGTGGGCGACTGGCAGGGTGTAGTAAAGAAGGAGGGTTACGCAAACAAAGCGGGTGGGCTCGGGGTTTCAACGTGGCTGCTGCCAGCGACGCTTGTGCCGTATGGCGCCTTTCAGAGGTGGATCAATAAGGAGATAGATGAGGTGACTAGGGAGGTGGGTCAGTCGATTCCGCAGCGGTCTGGCCAGCTCTAGGCGACCGCGTGTGACAGGCCGTTGATATACGGACTCACAGCCCGACTCACATGTCAGTGCACGGCTTACCACTCCTGGAGATTCACAGAAGCACGCAAAGTAAGAGTAAGTGTGGTTAGTTCGATCATGAATCGCTCAACAATCAAGCAGACGCAAAAACCGAGTCGTGTACGTCCCAGTAATCCGGGCAGCCGCCAGCGCAAATACATGCGGCCTACATGCAGTGTGGACTGTAGCTATAAAACCAGATTGATATACCTGGCGGACATTCGTCACGTCCCGTCTGCGATTTACCGTTAAGATGCATCATTGCGACCATGGATTGCATGTTGAACTGCACCCGAGCTTAAAACCAGATTGAAAGAGCCAAAATGTCCTTAAATCCAGTATCCAGCAATGCATCCTGCTAGCTCATGGTCTCTACGACCAAACGAGAACAATCCTCAAGTATAATGTGACCAGCAACCATAACTGTACCGTAAGGCCACATCCGTGACTTAGTCGATTGAGGAAGGAGAAACTGACGCTCGACCAAAGATGAGATAATGCTAGGAAGCAACCGTCTAGGTAAGTTGTTGCCAACACCACCTTCGATACCTTACCACATCTACGCTTTCACGTGAATTCTAGATCACCGCAAATCACATCCTAGCTACAAACCTGTTACTCAATACTTAATCGAAGGCCTTGCCGCCGCATGCGGGCTCGTTAGGTTAACCCAGTATCCCGAAAGTTAACCTCCACCGCCCCCGCCATCTCCGCCTCCGCCTCCGCCCCCGCCGCTGTTGCCCCCGCCACCGCTGCTCCAGCCGTTGCCTCCAACGCCTCCCCCGCCGTTCCACCACGAGTTGTACCCGTACTGCTGGTGGTATCCACCGCCGGAGCAGCAGCAGAAGCACCTGAAAGTCAGAAAGCATCATGACTTGGATGTAACTTGACAAGTTCTTCACGCAACGTAATAATTTCTTCCGAAATCTCGTATTGGAGGAGGGAATGACTGAAACGACATTTGGATCTATTGTCGGTGGGCGACTGGTGACAAGCTGAGCTCTTGCTGGACTCAAGTAAGGGGAAGTCGATAACATGCCAAGGTGCTGCGGCACTGCGGATTCCGCTGGAGGCGGCAGAGCGGAAGAAGACTAACGCCGACAGCAGAGCTGCGGGGAAGAGTGGCTCCGTACGTGGAGGCCAGTGGAAGAGCGCTAGGGGCTGGCCGAGGAGCGTTTACCGAGATTCAGTACTGCTCCCAATGACTAACACTCAATGTTCAGACTGTGGCGCAGCTCATGCTTCCCTGCCTACTGACCATATTGTAGCCGATTGTCTTATAAGGCGTTTCGAGTTCCATTTCGTCCTTTTTCTGCAGATGAGAATGCTGGCGCACTACTTACAAACCTCACGATCAAATCTAGCACTGACTGAAAAGGACGCCAAAAGGAGACGCTGCACTTCGCCTGATGGCAAATAGATTGGCAAGTTCAATCCACATAACCTTCCAAAGGGGAATAAAACGCCCAAAAGTTCCTCTTCTTCAAAAACGCCAGCCCTAACGAGGAAGCGTTTACTCACAGGAAGCACGCGATGCCCATGGCACCGAAGACCTTGGCCCACGTGGGCACTGTGCGGCGGACCTCGGTGCCCTTGCCCTGGCACTGGGGGCAAACCGTTGTACCAGGGGGCTGCATAGGGATGCTGCAGACAGAGAAGTTGGTGTCAAAAGTGTTCGGGGACTGTTCCCGGCTTCAGAGGCGAAGGAAACAAATGACGATGATGAAAGCAAAGATTCGACGTTTGAGAGAAGGCTGACACAGCGGACTGTTTGGAATGACGCCCTTTGAGTGGTTCGTGCTGCAAAAAACGTCACTGGTGCAAAAGTCGTTTTATGGAGCTGTTGCTCGAGAAAGCTTGACGGAAACGGAAGGAGAAAGCAGAAGTTGAATCGTGAGGACGAATATGAGAGGGCAGGTGCACTCGGCAATGTCTTAGGAATGCTCTGCAGCTCTCCGATACAAAACGCCCTGCAGCACACAACCTGGATACAGAAAAGTGAGCAAGAAGGCAGCCTGCTCTGCTCCTTCACTTCTTCCTCCCCACCGTCTACGCAACCAGCAAAAATTCAATGCGGAGGCCCTTGCAAGGTGTGGGCCCGGACTCACGTCATCCCAGGTGCGAACTGTTGCGGGGGCGGGTACTGCCCGTAACCGGCTCCAGGGTAACCCGGCGGAGGGGACGAGGCGTACATTGGTTGAGGAGGGTACCCGGGCGGACCAACCTGGGGATAACCCGGGGGTGCCTGCGAGTAAGCGGGGTTGTAACCTGGGGGTGCTTGCGAGTAACCGGGGTTGTAACCCGGGTTAGCCTGGGGGTAACCGGCTGGGGGGGGCGGCGGGTACTGGTAACCGGAGGAAGTGCCCGGGGCAAAGTCCTTTGCATCGGTTTGGGGGATCCCTGGATATGGAACTCCGGTCACGGGGGCTTGGTCGTAGTAGCCTGGGGGCGGGGGTGGGCTGCTTGGAGCGACGTCACGGTACCTGAGGCAACGATAGATTTGCAGATCTCAGGCGTTTGGTTGGGAACCAGAACTGGTGCATGTCCTCGACAATATACGGATCTATGGCCAGTATTTCTGATGAGAGGCAGAATGCTATTGCTCCCATCTTTTAAACTTGTGCAAGATGAGCATCGGGTGCGATATGGATGGCAAAAGGCGCCACAGAAGGTAGAGGAAAGGTTTGAGGCCGAACCCTAAACCTGGAGGCTAAGACCCCTACAAAGGGTTGAGTTCGGCAACGATTGCATAGAACTCGACAACAGGCAGTCAGAAGCTTCCTGGAGGGGCTTGACGGCAAGAATAAGAGTGTCCCTCGGATGACAGAAAACCTCTAACATGCCTCCGGGATTGACTGGATCGATATGATTACACTCTGTTTTGACTATTACAGCGATCTTTGACCGCTTTGGAGTAGCTTTCGCAACTACCGCCAAGAAAGAAGGCGTCACAAAGGTGCCGCTCTCAACAGGCAAGAAGCCGAAGCCTCTTGAGGGTGCTGAAAGGCTTTAGCCGCTACGACCCGCCACAGCACTGCATGCCGCGCACAATCAAAAAGTGGTTGGGCCATTAAGCAGTCCAAGAAAGTGTTGGGGATATTGGGCAGCAGGTTAGGGCTTACATCCCGTTCGGTGCAGGAGGCATCAGGACCCCTCCCGCGCCCAGGTAGCCCCGTCCGTTGCAGCGCGAGCAGGGACACGTGGTCTTGGTGGACATGCACCTGACACAAGCAGGACGAGAGTAATGACGTCAGAAGTGCGGCAGACGAGTAGCTAGTGTGCGGAGACCGTTCAAACCAGATCATCAAAGACAAACTTAAAGGAGTCGAAGAAGTGAGACTCATGAATGAAGATGCCACTTCGATTACAACGACACAGGTTTCGGCTCCGCTTGTACAACTTCATGGCTCTGTAAACAAGTGGGTCGGTATCGAAAGCAAGGTGGCAATCTACTTGGAAGCTAGTCAACTCGGATCCAGCGAAGTTGCAACCATTCCAACAACTGCCATTTCCGAGCAATTAGACGCTTCGAGAAAGGACTTCACTCCTGGCACAACGTCACGACTACCGTAACAGTTTGTAAGTAAGCAGCCAACAAAGTAGGCAGTTTCCAAGGAAACGATCGCCTCTGATCCTTACAAGCCTCGTGTCAGCGGATCAGAAAGGACATCCAGCCCCGTACTAGAGCCTAGCGCAAACGCACGGCTCTCTCACGAGAATCAAATCTCAGAAATGAGCAGTACGGTGCCAACTCACAAGCCAAGGCAGCCGATGCCACAGGACACGAGGATGATTAGAAAGACCGCTCCGGCGATGATGCCGCCAAGTACGCCGCCCTTTCCGCTAGACGTGCTAGACGCCGAGGAGCAGCTACAAGTTGGCCGGGGGCTGCACGGAGGGGCGTTCGAAAAACGTTTAGAGTCTCACGATTCAGGACCTGCAACATCCAGTTTTTTTGGCTCTTCCATTATCTGCTCTGAAAATTACAGACAGAAGAGATTTGCAGGAGACTTCGATGTTTCTAAAGGAACTCGAAGTTCCCTAGGTTTCGAGGAAATGAAAAAGTCTTTGGGATTGAGCCTCTGGTGACATGAGCACGAAGGGAGCGCTTTCAGGGTCTTAGGTTGTCAGACTATTGACTTTGAACTCTCCTCGTCGCTATACTTCCGATTCAAGGGATATCGGGCCCGGTTGATCCCTGAATAAGAGGCACTCCCGACGGTTGCAAAGATGGCGTAGGACCATCTGCTAGGGCGTCCCATGCAGTCAAGTTTGGGTTCAAGCAGAGGAGCAGCCAAGGTAAGAGGGAAGGAGCGCTCTCTCTTTATCCTTGCGCAAGTGACCATTTTTCTCAAAAAGATCCGGTACCGTCCCAGCGTTTGATTCCGTCAGCTTCGACGCCGAATGATATTTTAGGAGAGTTCTCGGAGTTCGGTAGACTGCTGAAAGTTTCTAAATCGACTCGAAACCGCTTGATATAAATTGCTGAAACCTTCAGCAGGCAAATATTGACTTATCTGCGGTCGATATTGAAGAGATCAAACGCCGGTAAAAAAGTTCGAGTTCAAGAGAGCGAAGATAGATCAGAAAGTAGTTTTTCAAAAGTACAAATCTTGGTCCGAGCATCATTGAGTCACAGTCACCAACGTTAAGGATTGTGTCGACCATCCTAGTCTTGGACCTCTCTGAACATAAGGACAAGCGACATTGCCTCAGGGACTCACCTCGACCCGTAGTCGTACGTGAGACTGCAAAGAAGGAAAGATGGTGGAGATCAGTGTCGAAATACTGAACACGATCCAGTGAACATGCACATCATAAGCAGGTGTGCCTTAAAGCCGTTGCTTAGCGGAATGATAAACTGCAACACAGAGCCAGCGTTCGACTCAAGCATCCCACCATACCGCAGCCGACCTTTACGAACTCACGGGTGCTTCGCAACTACACAAGTGCTCTTAAATTTCAGAAGCGCTCTGACACCGTAAGTGCTTCCACCAAGTATTTAAACCATGTTGCGCAACACACTGAGCAGCAACTGGCCCCTACTTACGTGAAGACGGCGTTTTGGTTCGAGAAGAGGGGCCCATTAAGGGTGGCCGTGACCGTTGAGCCGTCCCCGGAGAGTTGCGGGTTAAGAGGCCGGGTTAGACCGTTAACCTCCACGGCTAGAGTCGGCCTCGTTGAAGGGACGAAGCCCAGCTTGAAGGTAACTATTAGGGCCTGCAACAGAAAAAGCAAGACTCAGTCAATGCCTAAGGAACCGGTCCATCAAATCGAGGTACAGCCCGTCTCGTACCTTTGGCGCCAGAACAGGGCGGCTTTTCGAAGATGCTGCGGAGTCGCAGGTTTCTTGGAGTCGTAGTTGCTGCTCAAATGCAGCGGAGTATGAAGGAGACGTGGCGCTTCAAAAAGGCTGTCGGCCTGCAACGCCTTGACATCCACTTCGCAGCGCAAAGGGTAATCCGGGAGAAGCTACAAGACTATCAAGTAACCTCCACCTACGCATCATATTGCGACGACCCACTGGGGAGTCGGCTAGTGGCAGCTGCAACCGCGGAGGTCTCGCTGCTAAAAGTGTGTTTCTCTCGACATGAAGCTTATCCTTGCAAGACTGCATTCCTAAGGAGGAAGATAGACAAGACAAACATTGACAGGCAGCACTTCAGACCTGGTCTAAATTAAGCACTCCAAGTAGCTGGAACCATCTGATAAGCGAGTCTGGCCTTCAACAGGGACTTCTGCAAAAGATTAGCGCAGCCTTACATTCATCTGCTGCGACCATTTCCCAGTGGCGAAGCGGGCGGTGTAGGTGCCTGGAACACCGGTCGTTGCATTGCCGCCACATTGGCGAATCGCGTTGTCCTGGAAAATAAAAAGCATACGCCTTTCAAGATGTTGTCGCTTCAAGCAGTTTACAGGATAACATACGAAGTCGACCGTCACCTTTGAACGTCAAGTGTCTCATAAGCAAAGCCACCACCATTGAGGAGCAAGGATTCTGCAATTATTTCTGACTAGTCACAACATAGAATCATTACAGCAAGCCCAGCAACCGGCAGCTCGCATTGATACAATCAGCCAAGGAAGCCGGAACAGACTGCAATAGCCTCCGACATCAAGGTGACTGTCATTCTTTTGTCCGGGCGGCGCGAATTAAGAAAGATGAAGGAGTTACCTTATCGTACGACACGGTGTAAGATAGGGACGAAGTAGAGGTGTACCATGAGATGCGCCAGGCTCCATTGTTCCAACCCTGCAAAAGAAGGTGACAAGCTCGAACGATGCAGGTAGCAGCCGCAATGCTTCCAGCCGAAGAGCTTCAGCAGACGCTGCATTTTGACAAGTTCTACCAGTCTTAAAGAAGCAAGGTTGCTGCGGCACAACTTCATTACCAAGGCTGGTATATTGTACAAGGCCCGTACAAACAGTGGTATGAGATTCTTCAGAATCGACTTGAGAAGGGCAATGAAACCTCATGTCTCTTGTTTTGAATATCCAGAGCCTTCCAGGAAGGGCGTTGTTGACAGCGAGAGGCACATGCGATCCCCAAACCGTCCCAAACTTCGCAATTACCAGGTTGAGTATAATTTGACAAGACCGCTCTCAGAACTGCTTGCCCGGTTGTGACTTGTAAAACTCACATACTGATACTTTGTGTTGTAGCCTGGCGAAGCTGTCACGTACACGTTGCTCACGCGCTGGTCTCCATCAAGCTGAATTCAAAAGAAGACTTTCTAAATCTTGGTGCGATCAAGAGAACAAATGGCTCTCAGCTCGTCATGCATAAGGCAACAAGATCCTGATCCTAGCTCAACTGATCAACCTGCAGGCTTTCGACTTGACGTTTCAACATCACATGCAGTCAAAGCTGACGAGCCTGCTGCTTCTGAGCAATGTTTTAAATACTGTGTTCCCAGTGACGGACTTTGCAAGTGTCTTTGAATCTCCATCTTGAGTGCCCTACTTTCTTAGAAGCCCTGAAGTTCCAGATCTTATAGTCAGGGAAAGCTGTGGCAGCCTCTTGAAACATGAAGCAAAACATAAAAGGGATCTTACCCCCATGTCTCTCCAAGTTTGGCCCCCTGTGGTGTAGGGGAACGTCCATCCTTCCACAAAGTGTGCTGCGGAGAAGGGTGCTGGCCCTTTCAGAACCCAAGCTTTCGAAAAGATTGGGATTTGTAGATTGCAAAGGGCCATGCCTGGGGTTTGGCGGAGGCAGTGCCAATGTTCTCTTTGTATTCGAAGCATAACATGGTTGCACCACTTCCAGCCAGGTTCAATGAGTGCTAGGCAAGCAGACAGGACAACAACTTCGTTGAAATGCATTATTCCGCAAATAAGTAAGCATCCGAGGCCCTCACTGGACAAGAGTTTCTGTTGCTGCACAATGATGGAGAAATGGATAGTGGATCAACCAGGCTGATAAGTTGTCAAGGACAAGGTGTAGAAAGGAACATTTGAATCGCGTTCATGATCATGTTGCCCCACAGGTCAGCAGCACTTACCTTTGCAAGATGCTGCCGGAATGTCTACCTCCGCATTGTATGCAACACGGAAAGTGGCCGGGGTCCCTGCTACAGATAAAAAGACGTTGCCGGTTAGGACTATAAAGCAGACAGACAAAAAAGATGGGCCAAAAGCAATAAATCTGGAGCGGTCTGTGGAAGTGGCAACTTCGTGAAACGGCTCGAGGGCAATCAAAGCAGGCCAAACTTCTCAGCCTTGAGTTGATTGAAAGGCAAAGTTCAGAAGGCGTGTATCACATGTATTCTTGCATCTTTCCAATAGCAAACCAGCGGCTTTCTTCATATTAGGATCTTGCATACCCAAACCCTAATTTGCGTACTCCAGATATGGGAACACCTGCCGTTCTCAGAAAGACAGACCCGTTCAAGTAAATGTAAACGAGATTTAGGAAGCAGTCAATTTCATTGAGTACACAGCAAGTAAAAGATTCTTGGAACAGAATGCGTTTTCGGCAACGACCAAGCAATGCCAGACAGACAAATACCATCACTTACCTGCACCAAGGGATCCTGTACCCCAGGATGCCAACCAAAGCAACGTCAGCAACCCTGCGGCCCGTTGGCCTGCTCCCAGCGCCATGACCTTGCGCCTGTTTACCCTCTCCTCAACACTCCATCTGTGTCTCCACTGCCAGCACTTGGCCCTTGTGGGCTGGGTTCTTCCTCCAACTTTGTTCACGCTGAAAATTTGCGCGCGCCTCGCATTGTCCTTTTGGGCCACGCGCAGTAACTTTCCTACCAGCCCTGACCGCACCAGCGCCTACTTGCGCTAGAGAGCCTCTGATCGCGCGGACTCGCATTCTGTGAAGAGTTGGGGGATTGCCTAGACCCCTCATGCGACCATCTTTCCACTTTAGGAATCCAGGGCCAGTTGGGGAAGTTGCATGCATGGCGCCTGAAAAAGCATGCCTCCACCGTCACCTTCTAGAAATTCGCAGCAAAAGAAACTAAGTTAGCAACTCATTAATCAGAGTTGAGGAAGGCCAGCTCGAGGGCGGTCTGGTTCAAAGCTTCCCATGATGATGGGGAGCAAGCCAGCGGGTTTGGCTGCTATCCTTGCTCCCCAAGCGTACAGCAGCGGCTCCATTCTCGAGGCCTTTCAGGCCACTGTCGTGCCATCTTCGCGGGAGTTGTGGTTCTCGTTCGCAGCTGCGTGCGCAGTTATCTTGTTCTATAACCTTCTCAGAATCTTTGCGGGGTTTAATGTTGAGGACCGGTTGACGAAGCTGCCTGAGGTCAGGAGCCAGCTTGAGGCTAACCTGCGGGTTGGTCCAAGTGCCACTAAAAGGCGAGAGACGACAGACAAGATGTCATCTGCTGAGGTGAGGGCACACTCGTTGCAGTATTCCAAACCTCCCCCAGGGTATGATTCTGTTCACGGCCTTTGGTACCCCAAAGATCAAGGATGCAACAAAAACACGGGATGGAAGAATCCACATGAGCAGAGGGCTGTTCCTGTCAAGTTGCACCTACATTTTGTCACTAGTCAAGAAGACTCTATCACAGGCTCACTTCACGAATTGACTGTGGAAGATCTTTCAGATTGTCCCATTGCAGCCAGGCTACTGGGGCTGAGCTTTATGTACAGTGCCAGTGGATGTTCTCTCTGCGCATCTGACGGACATCATAGAGAACATGCCCCCAATTGTCCACCAAGGAGCATGTATAAAATCAACTTTGTGATGTTGGGTCTGCTCAGTCTGGGTTCCAAGCAACTTGAACAGGGCTCTGACACCTATTAGTGCCAAGTCCACCACATAAAGAGGAGGCTCTGTCTTGCAGGGTGATGCATTGGCAGATGCAAACGGCAAAGGGCGAACACGTATCTACACAATCAAGGTCAGCACTGCTCTGCCCCTTGCAATTGAGCAGCTGGCTAACGCCAATGCAGAGGTTGGATCTATTTGGTCGCTCATCAATCCAGGCTTTTGTTCAGGAGCAATCAATCGTTTTGATGGTTGAATGATAACAAGAAAAGCTGCCAGATCCTTCCCCTCAACCTGCCATACCTTGTCAAATTCTTTGAGTAAGAAAGTGAGAGTCCAACGTCCATAATTGCACCATGACTGGACCCATGTCACAATGCAGCTTTCCATGACAATCATAATCATATGCCAGGAGGCTACCTGCCTCCCTCTCTTGCACTCGTACTAGTCTGTCCCCCCGCTTATGGCGCCAAACCTTATCCACGAGTCAATGACTCTTCCCCATGTCATTGCAGGTGGAGCTCAAGGCTGCGAGAAATCTTGTCGCTGCCAACATGAATGGCACATCAGATCCATATGCCCTGCTGAGCTGTCGGGACCAGAAACGATTTAGGTGAGTCTCCCTCAGCCGCCAATTACCTGGCTGGTGCCCGGCACGAAGGTGACATGAGAATTTGTCTGCATCATGATCGCAGGGTGGGTTTGCTGATAAACCAACGGGCAGGAAGAGGAGCGAATGATAGACTGTAAAAGCATGCGAGTCCAGTAAGAATGAAACGGGCAAAGGACAAAGTCAGTGTCCAAGATCTAGAGTCATTAAGGTATGTCAGGGCTCAGGTTGGGAAAATCGTCGAAAATGGAATACCTGAAGCATATATCTACGTACCTGGACCGTTGCGGATTCGAACAAAGTTTGAAAGGATGACTGCCAACTTCAATTGAGCTCCTGTGTTGTGCAGTTCGGTGGTCCCAAGCACAAGGAACCCCCTGTGGGGGGAGACCTTTGAGTTTCTGCTCGACGATCTGCCTGCAGAGGTGGGGGTGTAACCTTTCTTTTCTGCATTCTGTAAACAAGGCTTCACAATATAATTTCACTGAAAGTGGGTGTAGAAGCGCGCTTGCAGTTTCGATCGGACGGCTCACTTTGTCTGGATCTTGTACCGCCAGTCCCGTCCCAGATCGTCATCAGTCAAAAGAGCAACGCCACTGGTTCTCAGCAGAGCCGTTGGTCAGGTCCCTACGCCCATTTAAAGTTTAACAGGCCTGTCGTACTTTGTGCCAAGTGGCATCTAAGCCCGCGCAGGTCTCGCTCTCGAGTGAAACCTAAATCTTCATTTGTCGAAAGGGTGAGAACGCTTCTATTCCTACCAAGAAGGAAGATTGGTGGACGAAGACGGATAAGTGAGCACGTGCAGACTGGCCCTAGTTCGAGAGCTGCGGGAGAGGGGAGCCCAGTACTTTATTCCGGGCCTGTCAACGCCGAAATTAACGTTGACCTTACCTTAAGCTCACCTCTGCAGTTGACAATCTGCTTGTACGACTGGGACATCTTATGGCGGAGTAGGGGTTTGGGCGAGACCACGATCATGATCGACGGAGAGGGGGAAGATGAGCCCGACTGGTACCCACTGGACAAAGGGCAGGGCCAGGTACGTACCTACTGACTATCCGCTTACTGGTGGATTTTGATACCTTTGATTTTTCGAGAAAGGCTCAGGCAAAGTGATTCACAAGGAACACCCGCACTAAAGGTGAAATGTTGTGCTCGACGCCTGTGACCACTGTTGACCCCCTGAGTTTTCTGTCCCGTTTCCTTCATCCGGCGGCATCCAGTGGTTCGCGGCTGGGCTCTTCAGTCCCGGCGATTGTCTACACTTGTGCAAGGCATAACCGCTGTGAGTATGGTGGACCGCTTTGGAAGTCGTGTCGGCAGTCTGAAGATTTGCAAGTCTCTTAGATGCGTTGGGCAGGTTGTCTGAAATGGAGTCTGTTCGATATTCCGCAGGTGCAGCTGCAGGTGACGACGTCGTCACATCACGTCACATTCACAGGGTGAGCTTTCCGACGTTCGACTATCTGAACAGTACGAAGTAAGTGCGTAATGATGACTTTGAGAAAGGGCTTATTTTGACACGGCTGAGTCTCAAGGCCAAGTCGAACGGGTTTGAGACCGAGTCGACTGAGTCTTCAGATCCTTTTGGGCCGCTCGTTGATCTGTCTCAAGTGCGAAGTTTCGCTAAGGAAGCAGCTTTGAAAAAGCATGTCATGAAATGAGCAGATTCCAGGTTCGCTTTCTTCATTATGGTGTCCGTCCTGATTGCGGATAGCAGGCCTACGGACCTGGAACGTATCCGTTCCGAGGCAACGGCGCTTATGGACCCTTCAGCGAGCCTTTATTCTACACCGGGATCCAGCGTTACCAAGCTGACCTGACTCAGATAATCAAACAAAGCATTACTTCAAAAACGGAGCCGCGATATGTGTACAGAGAGGAGCACATCTGCAAATACACAAATCCGGGAACATTGCAACGTTTCCAGCCTCAGGAAGTACATTTGCATGATGCGGCAGTGCATCGTGCAAGGCTCTGAAATACGGGGTTCTTATGCCCTGCAGGAAGGACTCGGCGGTGACGGGGCTGACGATGTACCAGCGGCGGCGGCGCATGTCCGACGCCACGCCGGCGCTGCAGCGGGAGGGCACCATGGTGCGCCAGAAGCCGGGGCCGCTGCAGACCATCTTCAAGCTGCCGCCTGACGAGGTGAAATATCCCTGGTTGATGAGTCTGAAAATTTTGTTCGGCTCTATTTTTCCAGAAGCTGCCCCCCGACGAGGTGAGACTGTCCTGTGTGACTTGCAGCGATGAGTGTGAAAGTCTTGCCCCTCTTATATTTGCGGACCTTCTTCCAGCTGCTCCTCAACGAGGTGGCATGTTCGTGAATGACCTGCCGTGGATGATTTGGTCGATCTGCCGCCTACAAGGTTGACACTCATTCTCAGAATTGACCCGTAGATTGTGCATCAAACGCTCTCCTGCACCATGGAATATCACGATTGCGTCGAGCGAGACTCTTTCCAAACTTGCTGTTTATCAAGCCTTCGGATAAAGAACGTGTCGCGCCTTGAAGTGGATTGCGTTGCCTCTCGACAAAATCCTTCTCACCTTGTTCCCCCCCCAGATCAACAATTCTCCAATCCTGGATTCGGCTCTCTCAAAAGCCACTTCTCGGCAGATCGCGCGTCCGATCTTTTCAAGCGCAGTGGGGCAGATTGACGGCGGCATAAGCCTAAGAACGATCGTTATCCTCAAATGCTCGTAACTTGAAAGCTTTCCAAAAGGCGTCTCAATATTGGTAACTCCAATAACACCGAAGAGCCAATCCACTCAAGATCTGAGCTACCCGGGCAAACAAAGTACAAACCACAACCAACAGAATCACCAAGCTCCGCACCCGCATCCATAACTACCAGACCAACCCTACCCGTCTCCCGGGCGCCTATCTCAAGTGAAATGGCTATTGACCGAAATGGGAATTACTAGAGTGGTATCTCATATCTCCCATACTCTTCCATCCTCTCGAACCCCACGAATCCGTTGCAGATCGCGATGCACACCTTCTCGTGCGCAATGGAGCGCAGCTTTCTGTACCACGGCCGCATGTATGTGTCGGACTACCACGTCTGCTTCAACTCCAACATTTTCTCGAAGGGGATCAAGGTCAGCGACTCCAACTTTCAAGCGGTATACTGTCGAGCGATGCGTAGTCGATCCCATTGTTAACAGCGTCAAAGGCTCGCAATCGGCCGCATCGAGTGTTCCTTTATCCACGATAACTTCGGAAAAATAGTCGCACTTTGCAGGGTCAATCTTAATTTCAGGAAGGCTCGTCGTTAACAACATGACAGCACATGACCTTTGCGAGCTACTAGTCAAAGCGTAGTAGTCTGGTTTCTTCCAGAGTAAGCAGCAGCAGCCCCAGTCAGCAGCGAAAACTGCTCTTGAAATTGGCCCGGCTTCGCAGCAAAGGCTGAGTGTCTTTGCCACCTCAGATTCGGGTTGCCTGCCACCTCAGATTGGGGTTGCAACAACGTGGAAACGTGATTCCTTGGCTTCGTAACACTTATTGAACGCTAACCTGGTCAAAACAACGAACGAAGTTTCGCTGCAGGTGACGATACCCTTTGAGGACATAGAGGAGATCCGGAAGAGCTACCACGCTCTGATTAACCCTGCGGTTACGATCGTGTTGCGAGTGGGCGCGGGGGGGCATGGGGTGCCCCCCTTGTCCAGCCCAGACGGTAAGCACATTTATTTTGGTTAGTTTGCACAGGGTTTTCTGACCCTTAACCACGGTTGGTTGCGGGCTGATTTAGGGCTGGTTAAAAAATGGTTAAGCGTCCGATAACCAGACCTGGGCGGTAACCAGCCTAGGAACAAGGTCAAAGCCCGGTTTATTGTTCAATAACCTGAGACTCAATTTCAGTTTCAGCCTGGTTAAGGGTTGACAGCCTGGTCAATCCCAGTGTCAGCCTGGTTAGCAGCCAAAACCTTTTGTGTCGGTCTGGAGCTTCTCACCACTCGCTCTAGACAGGACTTCCTTAACCCGCAATCGTTTGGCGACCCGAAACCACTCATCTCGTTAAAGTGGTCGCCAAGGCATTCTTCCAAGGTGCAACATAGTACCTCCCACGACCAACCCCTTCTGGACCCGGATGACGTGAGTGCGATTTGAGATTTGACACCCTTTATTTGTCAGGATTTCTCCATTTTGCAGCTCTTCGAGGTACATGGATATCATACCTGTGTCGAACATCGTGCATCAGACTATCTCTAGGTTTTGTCTAGGACGTTTCAGCTGCCGACTCTTTTGATCTACGCTGTTCCGAAAGTACATACACCCTGTTTTCTGTCCTCGCTCATATGCCAAACCGGCCTATGTCCTTCAAACCAATGTCTGCCGAATGTCTTGACGAGATTCTTTGCTCAACGCTTTTGCAATTTTCGGACGCTTGTGCGCCGTTTGAGGTCTGTCAGTAGATAACATTCTTTCCAAACCCAACGAGCTCTCTTCAAGCATATTGAAACGCATCACACGTAAACCCCTCTTCTCGCCAGGCAGGCCGCGTCAAGTGCAAGCCCGCGTCCTTCTGTAACCGCAAACACACACACAATTCGCCCGCTTTGTATGCCGTGCTCCAAATTCGCGTCCACGACCACGCACCGAAAACCTTCCCACCACTCTGCCCTTTTCCGCCCTACAGGCCGTGCGTCGTACAAGTTTGCGTCGTTTGGAACCGTAAATATCAGACTTCTTACAATGAATTTCCTTCATTTCTCTTTGCAGGCCGCGCCAAGTACAAGTTCGCGTCGTTCCGGAACCGCAGTCACGCATTGGAAACCTCCCGACTGCGTGTCTTCTCACAAATCCTACTTATCCCGCCGCTTTCGCCTCAAAAATAACAGCACACTCACCCCACAGGCCGCGCCAAGTACAAGTTCGCTTCATTCTGGAACCGCAACCACGCCTGGCGCGTGCTCCAGCGCAGCAAGAAAGCGTACCACGAACTAGAGAAGCAGCAGGCGCACGAGGAACGGGGCACGTTGCTGCGCGCGAGCAGCCTCCGGGACATGACGTCAGCGGCGGCCGAGGCCGTGGCGGCGTCCCCGGAGGTGACGTTGGAGCGGCTCAAGACGCCGCCGCGCCCCGCGGCGGCGCTCGAGCCGTTTTTGTCGGAGGAGAAACTGACGGAGATTATACAGGTGCGAAATTATTGCGTAGCATGTGGAAGTCCGATCTGATTTGCAGGATAAGGACCTGTGAGCCGGAGAACGTCTTTCCAGATTTGCAGCTACTTTGTCTTGATTATATCGAAAGGGTGCAAACTAAGAACTGCTCGGATTCACCACCAATCTTCGTTTGTCTTCGACTTTTTTCCGCTCTCTGCATCTGCTGGCCACGAAGGGTTTCTTTCTTCCAGATGACTTCTTTTTACCGCTTGTCGCCCGTACCAATCGTCTTCCGTGCAACTTTGAAGACTTTCGAAGGGTTGCCATCCACCATCTCGAGAGAAAACATGACCGGGAGTCTTTCAAGAGCCCTGTGACTAACACTACATTTGCCTGACAAGAAGCTGGTTGACAGACTCGCATTGACATTCGCCTTCGGCTTGGAGGTTTCCAGGATTGCGGCCTGATGCACCCGCCATTACACTCTATGACTCCGTGCCCTTCATCTTCTCCGCAGGACACGTTGCCGATCACTGCCGCGGACTTTTTCGATTATTATTACAGCGACGAGTCGGACCTCACGGAGCAGTTCCGGATTGGGAGCCGGAAGGATACGAATCTGCAGGTAAGCCGGTTTCTCATCGTTGCTCTCCTGTCATCGGGACCGCCGTCAACGTCAGCCCGGTCATTGATTACTAGCGTTTTCGTCACCGAGCGGCCGAAAGCGTCAGCACCGGTCACGTTTTGCCAGCGGTGCACGCAATGTCTAGATGCAAATTTTTGGGCGACACAAAAGCAGAGGGGGCCGCTGTGCAATTGGTAGGATTCTTATGCGTCGTTATACGCCCTACTCGAGGCGCTCTACTTTGCAGCACGATGCTCTGGTCATGGAGATTGGAGTCTGCTTCAACGAGTCTGTGTCAGCTCTAGCCCTCGGAGCTTCTGAAACAATAGAGAAGTTCACACTGCGCTCGTCAGAATCAGTGGGCGATGACTCGGAATTCAGAAGCCGAGACCTTCAGGAGCAACCTGTCAGCGACTGGGTTCGTGAGGCGTAGATATACTAAATCTTTGAATCGACGAGTTGCTTCCAACTCAGCAGCGAAATTTCAGGCTATTTGAATGATGAACAAGAGTGTTTTATTGTCAACTTTTTGTTCGTCTACCATCCTTTATAAAGCGTCTCTTTTTTCTTTTCGCGATGATCGCGAAGTACGATTAGGCCAGCGCACTTTTTATCCGCGAGATAATCGATCATAATTGGCCCAAGTCCTTAAAGCCGGGGCCTGTGGACCGCGAGATGCTTCGCGCGGGGCTTGGTCGAGCGCAGCCCTCCCATCGCCCCCTTGTACAGACCTTTCATTCCAATTCAGCAACTCAGCAGGGATATGTCTTTCTGATAAGCGAAGCAGGGAGCAAGCCCAGAGGGCATTGATGAGGCAAACGGCAACGGCCAAAGAGAGCCACTCTGGGAAGTAAAAGGCGGGGGGAAAAGGCGGAGGGCGAACCTTCAAAGGGGTGAAGTCTCGGATTCTGTTTCTGCAGGCGGAGCGGTGGCAGCCGTCGGAGCAGTACGGGGGGCTCGTCCGCAAGGTGACGTTCCGGTTCCTGTGCACCAGCCCCATGTGCCCCTACGACAGCGCCATGACCGACTGGCAGCACGTCATGTATGACGAGCGGGATCAGGTCCTGGTGAGTGACGTCATCGTGACAATCTTTTTAGGGGTCTTAGGTTTTAGCGGTTCGAAGTGAAGGCTTACTAAGTCTTGCGTTCCGGGGGCGTTGAGTTTCTGGAAAGCGGACGCGTTCTGCTCCCAACATTTCGAGCTTGCAGAATTGGAACGGCAGGTTATGTACGACGAGCGGGATCAGGTCCTGGTCAGTGACGTCACTATGGGATGCTTGAAATGTTGGGTGTATTAGAATTTTTCAGTCCGGCGTTTCAAGCTTCTGGCTCTATGTAAGGCGACGCACTTCGCGCCCTGGGTTTTACGAGTTGCGGGAATTGAAGCAGCAGTCCTGTTTAACGAGTGTGAACAGTTCCGTGGGGAGCGATCTCACAATGGTATTTGTTGGGATATAGGGTTCGATGGTCTCCGTCGTTGGTTGTGGGGCACCTGCGTCTGGCCCTTTCCCATTCCAAGAAAGGGTGATATTCAGGAGTCAAGACTCGATGGCGGTTGCACGTGATCCATAACGTGCCAGACTAGGACTCTGCTTCTAGATACCGTCAGTGCGTCAAGTCACAGCGTCGAAGTTTCAAGACTTGCGGTCTTAGGGTTTGTCACTGGGTTAAATTCTGGGTTAAATGCTCCTTACCGGCGAATCTAGGGGGTTTGAGATATCTGAGCATCTGAAACAGGAAGGAGGCTGCAGATTGTCGAGTGTTTCCCTCCCAACTGATACCAGTAAAACAGAGCAAGGCTTTAAAAGCTTCAGGTCATGCGGTCAAAGAGACCGCGCGATTCTTAATTGGCCGCCAGACTGTAAAGCGTCTTTAGAGATTAAGTCAACTACTTTCTCTTTTCCCTTGCGGATCTCGCGTTCTGCTTTCCGCAAGGGGACAGCGGAGTTAAGCAGTGTGCTCCGTTCGACGTCGCCCATTTGAATGAGAGAGCTGCTGATGTCTTATCCGTCTACTCCTAACCTATGTCGTTGTCAGGTAAGACCAACCGATGGTCCCTTTTGAGTTGTCTTGACACCTCGCTGGATCTGTCCTGCAGACGCTGGAGGTCATCTCGCAAGCCCACGACATCCCGTTTGCCTCGTTCTTCGAGGTGGGTCTGCAAACAACGAGACTCTTCTTCATACCCTTGACAGGTGGCCTGTGCACAACAGGAGCAACCCTTAAAGATGCCGTCAGATCGAGACTCATGGATCCTGGCAGGTTGAAAGTTTTTGCTGATAGACTGGTAATTGCACGTGCTTTCATTCGGGAAGTGATTCCAGGCTCCGCTTATGGTGACAATTCGAGAATATTCACAAACGGATCTGCACACGTCAGACGACCTTCACACGTTTGCTTCCCGGCTGATCGTAGGCTCTTGAGATTTCACCTGATCTTGGAGGCTGTTCAACGTAGTTTTCAAGTCAAAGGGAAAAAAGCTTGAGACCAAGAGAGAGTCAAAGGGAGAAAAGCTTGAGACCAAGAGAGAGTCTGCGGACTCTGCTCGTCGTGCCTATCTGTTGTGTTACCAGACTTCTTCAAAGGCCTTGTTTTGATCGACTGTTCAATTGTTTGCCTCTGCTGCTGCAGGTGCAAAATAAGTTCATCGTGAAGACAGCCGGCCCGTCTTCGTGTGACGTCACCGCTTACACGGGCGTCCACTTCAAGAAGTTCTTCATGCTCGCGGGCAAGATTCGCAGCGGCGCCTTGGCCGAGGTGGGCCACTCCGCAAAAATGGGCTCGTCGCACTCTGTTTTTTTCTCGTCGCGAACCGGTTTCCGATCTTGCAATAATCGTGAATTGTTGCAATGAAACTCCGCGAATCGGTCTCCGATCTTGCGGTAATCGTTAATAGGTCCGATGAAACTTTGGAGACCGCGAGGCTCGCTGGTTACTGCTCAAACTGCATGTAGATCCAAATCAATTGCAATTGCGTGGCCTATCATTGAGAAGCTGACCTTTCCACCACAAGCCGCGCCAGCACCCCTGCTGCCCCGCCTCCAATCTCGTCGAGCTGTTCGCTTCGAAGTGGAAGTTCTGCGTCTAAAACGGATGGTCCGATTTTACCCTAACTTTGCGACCTTCAGCGGGCATCGGGTCGACAGTTTTTCAGCAATGCCGTCTCCAACAAATCCTTTGTGGGGTCTACCACTGCCTCCGACGCTTGATGTTTCTGTTTCCTGATCAGTGCAAAGACGACTGGAGTTTGTGGCTCAAGCTCGCGAAGCAGGAGCTCGACCGGTTGAAAGTTGACGTCCCGGCCCGGCGTGCCGAGGCGCAGGCTTCGGGACCAAACGAGGTCCCGGTACAAGATGAGTTTCTAGGTCGGGACGTGTCCGTTACGGAGTTCCGCCTTGTGGAGGCGGCTATTGAGGGCGAGAGCATTGAGCTCGCTGCTCCTATTGCAGACGTTTAGTCTTACGCGCTTAGTTGTTGGCGCGCTTTAGTTGGGAAAAGGTGTTGGTTAAATGGGAGGAGAACTTCTCTGGCGACTCGGGAGGCATGTGCTAATTATCTGGCACTATGGAGTCAGGCAGTCCTCAAATGATACCACTGTCAGGTGCCACGTCATCTGCACGTCTTGTTCGCGCCGTTATTTTAATCTGCACAAATCGTCATCTGGCGCATTCGAACTTAGCACGTATTAATGCGAGAGGATACGACCTGGGCATATACTATGTTAGTAGAAGTACATGCATGCGCAATGATTGACTGCATGGCACTGATCATTATATATCAATAGGTATGCATGTGCGTTGTCATTGCATATATATCTTGAGTTGTTGCAATCGACAAGGCCGGTAGAACCACGTATCCATGCAAACGGGCCGCTCAAATCTTGATTGAGATATACATCAGGGGACTCGTATGGTCTTCAATCGGACGCGGTCATGCGGTCCATGACGGTGCAAACCGGACCTAGCACTTGCGCACAATCATTGCTTAAGACCTATACGGCGGCATCATACAAATACACGTACTCAGTCTCTGACAGCTTCATGTCACGACGGTTGTAGCACTCAATCTGATCTCTGCCGTGTCCGGGCCCCCGGCTATATGTCTCTATATACTTGCACAAAACCGCCTTGATTGCAAATGAATTACCGCCACAATGTTATCCGGCGGATGCCCATGCCCCTCGGGCGACCCCCTGCAATGTCAGGCACAGCTTGGACTGGACAAGACATTGCCTTTGTATATGGACGGTAGCATGAAAGGTGATTGCATGTGATCAATCTTGTATACCCGTACTGTTCTCAACTTTGACGATCCCGTGCAGAAACACGCCTGGCTATATCATCGTTAGTGACCAACTACTTGACGAGCTACTAAGAAGTTTCGCTAAACTCCAATCAACGCGCTATTACTTAGTACTTATACACACAATCCCCGTACAATACCGTCATGTATTTTCAACGCTTTCTGTAGAACCCACCTATATCATTGACATCTACCCCCGACCAGACCGTCAAACAGTCCGGACTGGCTCTGCAAACAGGAACCGAACCGTCTCGGCGTAACTACCGGTCACCCGCATCTGGTAGCCCACGACTCTGCTGCTCGGGGTCAAGCCGGCCCGCTCTCCGGAATCCTCCCACGGCGAGTCACGGACGGCACCAACGCCCATGAAGTTGGTCAGCCAGCCACCTGCCCTCCCAGTCACTCGAGCGAACCCGTCCGGTTGCTCGGGGAGTGTTTTGCCCGCCCCAGCGTCCGCGATTCCTAGCAGATCCAGCCACTGCCCACTGCCCGTCTTCCCCTGGATCCCAACCACCGTGTCGATCGTGAACGTCTCCTCCCCGTACACACGGCGCCCGTCTGCCTCGTCGTCACCTTCCACTGGACAATGAACGCGCCCGCGGGCGCCTCGACTTTGTGGGTCCACTGCCCGTCCGTTTGTCCCCGCGCCAAGCCCGCAGGCGACCACCTCCTCTGCTTCGCGCTCTTCCAGAAGTCAATCGCGCTCGCGCTCGAGCCAACCGCCCGGACCCACTCCGCTCTCTTGATTGTCGGGGCAACAGGGCTACGGCAAACCTGGTCCTGGAACCGGGCTCGTTCTTCGTCGTCCCAGATGTGGAGGTCGCCCTCGAACAGCTCCCAGAAGCGCTCCCACGTCGCCTCTCCGTCGCTCCCGACAGTCTTCCTCCACGTCTCGAAAGCGGCCCGCTCCCTTTCTTCTGAATCAGGATTAAGTGACAGACGTTTGGAGGAACGTCTGCATGCACGTGCCTGATTGCGCAGCTTCATGGTTCTCTCTTCAAAGAACTATGTCTGCTTGATGAGTTGCTCCTTTTCAACATGAACATCGATATGATCCGCTTTCGGCCTTGACTTTCAAAGAAGTGTCAAGGAGGCCACGCTGCCCAATCCTGTCGCTTGGTGTGTCCACAAATCGATCAGAAATCAAAGGTGGTTTAGATACAAATGCAATTGTGGAACAATTAGGGGTGAGGATGGGCATGGGGGACATCATAGACAGCCATGTGTTTTGGTAGGAACAGCGCTTTCTTCAAAGCAAAACGACACCGCAAAGTGCAGCTCTATCAAAGGGAACAACGATGGACCGCCAAGTTTCCTGGAATAAAAACAACTCGACAGACCCACTTCTTAAACTCTCAGGACTTCTCCCCACTCCCCTCATCCTTGTGACCCTCAGTATCAGATATCTTTATTTAGAAGTTTGGGTTGTTTCCGTACCGAAAGCAGCTAACTTTTCATCCCAGCCTGGGGTTGCCGGCAGAAGATTGGAATGGTGAAACTCAGAGGAAAAAGCTGTTGGGAGGGGACAACAGATCGGAGTAACATGTGAGAGGGAGCATCATCATTCCTCCTCGATGACTTACCTCTACTACTGATTGCAGGCTGCAGGGTTGACCGTGGAGAAGCTGCCGGTGTCTTGTAGGATGGCGGCTGGGACAAGTTTCCGACCTGGTCAGCGTGCGCCGATGAAGCGCCACCGCTCCTCGAGGTCTCGCTTGCAACCCCTGAAAGTGCAAACCGCAAGCTTCTTTTCAGCACTTTTTCATGGAGCGTGCAGCGGGCCTGTGCTGACTTTGAGCGATTCGCAGAAGGCAGGCCCTTCTTGCAGAGCGGATCAGGAATGATGTTTTTGACGACTGCTTACGTTGTCTTTGACGCGTACTTTCGAATGATCAATACCCCCACATGTAAGACAGAGATCCTCCTTGGATTCTGTTGCCCCTTCAGATGCCTCTGCATTTTAAGCCAATTACACATGAAAGGATGCCTGAACAGAAGCGCCCATTGTCACCTTTAAAGTAGAGGAGTTTGGCTTACCTGAGGGGGACGCAAGAGAGTCAGCCTCAACGGCCTCGCCAATGTGGACGCTGTCCTGTAAGCGGCGCGCGAGCCCGACCGGATCCAGGAGGCTGTCCCTTGCCAGCTTGAGTCTCGTGCAGACAAAGCCAAAGTTAGCCGGCCGCAAGTTTGGTTCGTGCTGGCAGCAATCGCTCACAAGATTTGCAAGCTCAGCGCCGCACGCGGAGCGGACGGTTTCTACCATCTTTGCGATTGCCGCTGCTCGTCCGAGTTGAGTCACGAGGTCGGCGGGCCACTCCCCAGTCAGCACCTCATAGGTCGTCACGCCAAAGCTATAGATGTCAGCTGCTCGTGCCTGGTATCTGCCGGCTGCGTCTGACTGACACTCTGGTGCACGGTAGCAACCAGTCCCCACCTTTGACGTGGCAAGAGAAGTCTCCCGCTTGACCTTGGCCAGGCCAAAATCACAGAGCTTGATTTTGATATGCTCCGCGTCTAGATCCTCAACAAGGATGTTTGCCGGTTTGAGGTCTCGGTGGGCTATGTCCTGCCTGTGCAGGAACTGAACGCCCTCTGCGATCTGCAGCAGTATCCCCACACTCTCCGCCACACTGAAAGGAGGAGACGGCCGCCTTCTCATGAGTTTCTCTAGAGTTCCGGCAAGGCACTCCATAACCAAAAGGTACGGCGACTCGTCCGTGCAGACCCCTAGAAGCTGCACCACTCGACTGTGCCTTGCCTTAAAGCACAGCCTGGCTTCCTCCATGAGAGCCCTGATTACTTTTCCCTGAGCCGCCGGCCGGTTGCACTCCACCGCCTTTACAGCCACCCACTCGTCATTCAGATACCGGCCCCGGTACACTATACCAAACCCCCCATGTCCAAGCACTAAGCACCCTTCGTACTGGACGTCTTGCCTCTTCAATTGGAGGACGGCCAGATCTTGGCCAGGCTCCGATGCACGTGCATCAAGCCGATTGACTATCTCCTGCGCCAGCTTCTCTTGGTTCCTGTCCTGCTCGCTCCGTCTGTGCCCAGCCTCAGACAACAACTTTTCTTTGAGCTCAAGCATCTGTTGCTTGAGCTCCTGCCTGTCCTCCCTGGCACATTGTTCCCTCAGCCCCCTCTCCGCCTCGTGCGCCCTCCCCGCGGCAGCTGCCTCCATGACGACATCGAGCGTGATGTCCCTGATGCACTCGTCCAGGTTCTGATGGAACGTCTCAAACCCCTCTGCATTCACGTCTCTATGGAGCAGCCTGATCAGGTACCGTTGCTTCCCAAACGTTTCTATCAGCAGGATCCCCTCCCGCAGCGTGGCTTCCAACCTTTGCAAGGCATGCATCCGCTGTAGCAAATCAGAGCCCGGATCTCCAAGCCGATGGCGCCGCCACTCCACCAGACGGTGTTTGTACTCGGCCACTCTAGTTGCTGCCCGAATGCATTGCTTTTTTGAGAACTCCACCGCCCTTGCTGCGGCTTGCAACCTATCCATGATGTTTAGGCACAAATCTAGGATTGCAAGGGGGTCCGCCATGGTCGCGGCGGTTCTTCAACGCCGCCTTTGCTCTGAGCAACTTCCGATTTTGTGACAAGAGAACAATTGAATGCGGACAGCGGGTTGGAACAGAGCTGTTCACATAATCAGCACCTGCTCTTCCAACGCAGAGCTATTCTGACGTCCTGCATTATGGCTCAATGCTTTTGCCTCCGACTGAAACCCGACTGAAACTGTAGGGTCACTTTTCTGTACAAGTTGATGAGCTCCTGCAGGGCCCATGGCAGCGCAGAGACAGGCAGTGACGCAGGACCCCCCGCAGACCAGAGTTAGGGGAAGCTTTGCACAGGCTGATAATGCATGATTTAGTCCAACACTGATAGAAACCATAGTAACTTGTGATGTACCTACAAAGTTGAAGGTATCTAGTAGACGACGTCTCTGCGACCCGCTGCGACCGCTCACTGATGCAGCGAAAATCAAGCCCTGACTCCTGAGGTCAGACATTTGATCCCTCATGAGTGGCATATACAAGTTTACCGGTAGACTCCAAATGATAGAGCTCGATCTACCCATATAGCAGGAATGGGCCCTGGCGGTATAGAGTCTATGGCACTCCCTGTCCTCTCCATGTGGAGTCGGATGGACCGGGGCCCGACGGGGATGTTTAATCATTGACGTTGACTTTTAAAAGGGCTAAGGTAGTACGGATGTTCTCTTGGTCCCATGAATTGACCAAAGAAAGTGCCTGGAAGAAAGAGGGGGTGGATTCGGGGTATTGAAACCGTGTTCTCAGTAAAGTGGCTATCGAACTCGGTACAGGTAACAGCGCGTGTGAATTCTTGGTTAAAGCCTAAAGGTTTGTAATGTTTTCGATCCCCCGAGCACCACCCTGGGCCTAGACAACCAGAGTCCAGTCACATTGCGGACCGTACGACATACGGAGTAGGTAATCTTGATTTTATATGGTATACGGTCACCGGTGGGTCACGGCCCCGGGGCCCGGACGGGTGGACCGTGGTGTCACGCGTGCGTTTAATCATTGGCTGCACGGGCGCGCTGCGCAAGCGGAGGCATTGGCTACGCCGCCGCTACAGCGTCCACTGACCAGGATCGTTCTGCCGATTCTGAATCTGCCCTGTAGAAGTTGTGATGCTACCTAAGGTACCTGTTGTCTGAGGATTGAACTTCAGAACTTCTCTACCTATTATCAAAACCCTATAATGCCGTGGGAGTCGGGACGATAAACTTGCAATCTTGAAGACGTCTTTATGCATACAGCTCATGCTTCTATGCTCCCTTCGCTTCATCATTCTTATATCCTTCTTGATGCCAATGCTTTTTAATGTTGGGAACTCAAATTACATCATCAATATCAAGGGAACTCGCATCGTATCCAACGCGGCCATGTTTGCATAGAGCCTTTGGATTACCCTAGGTGGCAATCTAGCTAGGACAAGCTATATCGATAATACAACGTCTATCATTAGTACATTGTGTTGTTGGTGTGCAGCTAATCCGAGGGGCTGAGCGGATTGTCTTGGCAGCTAGGAGTGCAAGTGGATATTCGTACTGATTAACTCTAATACAGTACAAATTATATGTATAGAATCCCCGAGTCGGCTCGGCTGTAGTGAGACGCGGCGGAGCTTGCACCAATACAAGAAGATGGTATGGCTGAATGTTTAGCTAGGTGAATGTTCATCTGCGGACAATTACATATAAACAATCATATTTTATGGGAAGGTTGTTTGGGATTCATCTCAGAAATCCATGCTACCGAGATTTATCCGCTGCTCTTGATAGAATGACATAGCTACAAGCCTTCTTCGACTTGATCTAGGTCAGACTACATTCGCCATTACACAAAGGGGCACGGCCGTCATTTGGCAGGCATCCGCAGCCAATACCGAGTTCCTTTGTGGATTGGCAGAGTCTATTTGGTTGAAGACATGTCCAAACGAAACAAGCATGCGCAAATGATCAACGACAACATATTACACTCTGTCTGTATGTATCGGAATGGACTCAACTTGCCTCTGAAATCACGTCTCAAAAACTAAAATTACTAGAACGATGAAGAGGACGAGTAAAAAAACAATCATGCAAATTTGGCCTTTTACCCCGGCTTTTTTGATAACGTTCGCCATCTTTTTCTGCAAAGGAACAGGTTAAGAGGGCCTTCAGAAGCTGACAATCGCTTGACATGAGACTCGACTCGTATAATATATCAATAATAAACGTCATCTCTATGTCTACAGAAGGACCCTTTTGATAAAGACGAAGTCTCGTGTTTCGGATCTCTCATTTGAAGATTGGATCTCAAGCGCGGCGAAAAGATGTGGTCTAATTTGTCCATCACGAAGAGGGCGCGCATCATCCAATTTCATCGAGCCCAAGGCGGACATTACCAGGAACACGCATATATTGACAAGCCAGCAGTCCAAAAGGGATGTCCGCCTGCCTTCAGGAACCAAGAAGGCAAGAGAGATGGACAATGCCCATTCAAAGGCTCGAGCGGCCCCCAAACGCAGTGACTGCAACAATACACGGTTTTTTACTCGACGAACCCCGACTAGAGTCAGTGTAACCCGCATGATAGAGTACCACACAATCCGAATTGGTGCAAGGGGTTCGGTCTATGCTACCATGAGTCGCCACTTCTCTCCTTCGCCCGCTGCTTTGTGCGGGTTGTCCTCGTTCTCAACTCGACCACAGACGAAAAGAACAACCGTTCTCAAAAACATTTTTCGACAACCCCCATACCCTCAATGAATGGCAAGCCCAGACGAAACAAACGGGCGAACGTAGAAGGAAGGAGAAGGCGCAATATGGAACAACCTACCTGCACAAAGTCGAGCCTGCTGCTGGTGCTGGTCATGTCTTTGTCGAGCTCATCCATAATTAGGTCCTGCTCGCTCAGCTCGTCGTGAATCGCCTTGCCGATATTACCGATGTTGGCGATGCCCCGCTCTAGTTCGTCCAGGTCCTCGTCTTGCTCCCTGGGAGGAGATCAAGGAACCAAAGGTTTCCGATTAATCATTTGCAAAACGTAGAACGAAGCCTGCTAAAAGGATGAGCGGTTCCACTAGGCTTACTTGCACTCAAGCTGAGAATGGCCTCGTCGCTTCCGCCTCCTGAAGGTGCATCAGGGCTTTGTCACCAAACCTGTCGTGAAGTTCAAAAAAACCGTGAAGACCTGTTGCATGGCAGATTCCAGCAGCTTTTCTGACTCTTTGTTGAGGTCTTCTTGGCGGGAGCGAGGGCAAAACTTTGCACGATGCAAGGCAAGGCCGGTCTCCACCATGTACCCTGGATGCAGGCCGAGGACACGAAAACCATCTGTTCAAAGCTGGAGTGACGCTTCTGAAGAAGCGGCTCCTTTGAGCGCTTGCACCCAATGCACCCTCGTAGATGACATGATTTCTGGCCCAAGATTGCTTCGCGATTCTTCAGCACAGGGTACGTATTGTGCAGACTTTACAATCGCTGTGCAGCCCCCACCTATGTCTCTGTAAAAACCGCAAAACCTGAGCGCGTCGAGCCTCCGTGCAACTGCTTCCGTGCATTTGCCTATAGAGCGAAATGGCCGGCTTTCCAAGCAAAACGTATGGAAGAGAAACGGCTCGTGCCTTTCGTGGCTTACCTCATCAGGAGCTGCTGCCTGTCAGACTCGTTATTGAGAAATGCATCATTTTCTCGAGTGATTGCTCCTTGCAACCGGGACGAGACATCCTTCCCCCCGGCAGGCCCCCGCATGAGCTCTTGCCGCGACTTGACCTGCGCTGCCTGCGCAGCAGTCTTCACCACCCGTCGTATCCTCTCGACCTGCAGCATGGAAACGTATGTTGGATCTAATCTGAAAACGAACGTGTTCTGATCAGGTCATGGGAATCATCGAAGCATTGGGGCACGTTTCCAACTTGGCCTGCGCAGTCTAGACGACTTCATCTCAAACATGTTCTGACTTCATTCTCAAAAGTTCTGGGAAGTAGTGACGCATCCAAGGAGCGCTCTTGATGTTTAATCTTCACCACCCCTCGTATCCTAACCACCTGCAGATTAAGAGAGCGTGTTCTGGGGCTTTTCTTAGTAGAGACGCGTTCTAGGTTCAATCCAAATCTTCGTATGAAGTGTCAAGACATCAAGAGAACGCCTTTCGTTTTAGGTTGATAGTTTTAACAGAGTCGAACAACATTTCGTGGATGTTTTCAGGATGATTTCGATGGTTGTGTACCATCAACCAGTCTAAGCCCTCAGCAGAGACCAGCAAGCTCTGGCATTCAGCCAGGTTTACAATAATTGCGAACCAATCAGCTGCTTGTGTGGGGATTCGAGATTGATGCCTCCCCTGTTTTGCTCTTCGTTTTGGGGGATGACTAAATGCAAACCAGCGATCAACTGCCAGGGTCGCGTTGACCCTCACTTCAGTTTCAAAGATTTCGCAGCGTGAAAGAACTCAATGACGTCAGAGACCTCTGTCTGCATAATGATTGGGGCTCGTGCACGCTCGGACCCCTGGTAATTGATCAATGGGAGTGCACCTATTGGCCGCACCAATCAGCTGTTAGGGCACTGCCTTAATCTCGAAACACTTTCGCGCCGTAAAACCATGTCCCCATCAAGAATTTGCATGCCAATCCCACCAAGCAGTAGCCACTAGAGAACCTACCTCTTTTCGCGTCTGGCTCGTCCATTGTCTCCTACTTTCAATCTCACTTGCGCTGACATTAAATCGTGCCGGATCCCGTTCCGCCACGTTGATGGCCTTCTCAAGCTCGTCAACCTGCATCATAGGAATTTCAACATCATGCGACATGGTGTGGATGCAGAACAAGTTACTGCTTTGATAGCGAGTTGTCTTGTAAGTGCGGGCAACACAAACCCCATTCTTAGTACGTATGCCTTTTCCACCCATCGCTTGAAAATGCTTCTGAGAGAGCTTAGAGGGCCACAATAAGCTTTTAATTCTCCCAATTGCTGAAAAATCACTCTCATAGCTTCTGATTAAGAGAGCATTTCGAAGCCGTGCATCATTTCACCAACCCAGCTTTATCTCAATCCAGTTCCCAATTGAAATCCCTGATCTCCCGTTCATCGGACTTGTCGAAAAACCCTAATCAAGAAGTCTCCAGTGCGATCATCCCCACGTTGTGCTTGACCAATGGAACTCCATCTTTTGCGGGAAGCACATACCATCGGATTCTCAGCTCCACTTATGCTTTTGCAACTAGATGCCAACTGAGCCGAATTGGCAAGCTTTGGACCAAAAGCTGCTGAAGGAGAGACAATCGGAAATGAAATAACAAGCAGGCTTTGCTCAGCCTCTACAGCTACATTCAGATCTCAACCTTGTTCCCCCCTGAAGAGGCTGCTCCTTAGGCTTGTTAAACAAGCTGAAGGTAGAGAAGAATGATCGGTACCTGCCACTCCACGCTCTCGCAACCACTCTCGAGCTCCCGGGTCAGCCTGTCCCTTTCAGCGCTGCCTGTACTCAAACCCTCCCATCGAGCATATCCAGCACTGACCTTATTTACCTGCAGGTCAAAGAAAATTTTAACACACAGAGCCGGTTTTGGAATCTGCAAACAGAGCAACAGAAGCAGAACGTTCCTGGGAGCATTATAGCAGGCTGAGCGAGCAAGGACAAAAGATTTCGAAAGAGGGCCCTCTTCACGCTGAAGGTGAACTTTCAATTCTGGAAGGATGGGGCTACGCACCGACTCCTGGATCTCCTCTTTGACGAGGTAGAAGGGGTCCTGGGCAGACATTTTCTCGCCACGTCGCTGTCAATCACACAAAGCACCTTCAATCCGCGCTAACAGCCTATTTTTGAAAGTTACACCCGCCAAATCTTAGACAAAAAGCCAGTTCCCTGTGGTACTTCTTGAGCCTTTCACAAGCGGCTTGCCGATATCAAACTGAGCAATGCGCCAATCAATTGCAGAGACAGCTGGCCCCCCAAAGTCTGCGCCAATTGGCTTTGCTGTGAATCCGGCAGGAACGTCATCCTTTGCACCCAGCTAGGTGAGTCTTGTTGGACCGCATTGACCAGGAAAGAAAAGTCTTAACCGTTCAACGTTAACACCCGCGAAAATTTGTCAGGGTAGTCCCCGGTGCGGTCCCCGGTTCGCGGCACAGAAAGCGTGAAGTTTCTTAACCTGAACGTACCGACTCCAAACCTCGCGCACTGGTCGGCACGCTAAAAGTAACCTGAATCTTAACCCCATCGAATTCCTGCTCTTCCTGCCCTTCAAGAAGATCACACTTCCTGCCTTGCCTTCCTGCACTCCAGGAAGATTCACTGTACGTCAGAGTCAGGAGTCGTCTTCACCTTTCCAATTGAGGCGTTCTTGTTAAACTATCGTAGCCTCTTGGCCTACAAGCGCATCTCTTACTTAGCTTTTCTCAGCAGGTTTTTTGATTCTGTACCAAGCGCAGCACAGCGCAGCCGCAAGCGAGCACCAGCTCCCTTATTGCCGCTTTCTCCTGCAACTCGTAAGCATTCTCAGTTGGTTTTGCATTGGCAATAGATTTGGCAGAGCTCAGGGTGTGGGGCGTACGAAGTCAGCCACTGCTTGCTGCTACTAGCCGCTTCTTGTTGGATTCTGTTGTGCTGCCGCCCCGCTGCCGCCCTCTTCACTGCATGGTTTTGGTTACCCTGCCGTCGAGTGTTTAGAGGGCTAGCTGAGTGGTGCAAATAGAGGAGCCTCGGGGGAAGAGCAGAGGGCGCACTGTAGAGCTGGAGGGAATCCTGCGTTTGATGGCTGCTAGAAAAGGAAAGGGAATTAACATTTGCGAGCCTGGGCACTGACAGGTACACCTTTCCTACACAAGGCAGGGATTTTTTGTACGAAAGTTTACCACCACCTTCTGTTTGCTAAGATTCGTTGCTCGCCCCTCTATCAGGTAGAATTTTGTCAGTCTGTTTTGAAGTAATATCATCTCCAACGAAGGTTTTACATTTCATTCGTTTTAGCAAGTCATGTCCTTCACTCATCAATTTTCAGTGTTCGCCTTTTTTGGTGGTGGTCTTTCCAATCCACCGTGGAGACAAAAGCACTGATTAGTGGGCTTTCTCTGCACAGCTTGAGTCAAGTGCACTGGCTCTCTTCCATATGTATGTGTTGTGAGTGACGGGGGTGTGGACTTTGTATGACCACTTTCTTCTGAAGTTGTTGTTTATCAGCACTCTTCCTTTATCCTTTCAGTAGATCATCGTCCCCTCTCATTGGGCTGGCAGTATCGATGGTGGCGTTTTCTTCTCGATCGTCCAAGCGGAGGTCGTGGACTGATTCCCTTCAGGACTGTCCAAGAGGAGTTTGTGGACTGAATCCTGTCAAAGCTTCACAGGAAAGGGTTTTGCCCGGGGCTCCCTCAGATGGTACCTGTGAAGATTCTTGATTTCTATCAGGCTTCTTCACCTTTCCCACCACCACTCACGCATCTCTCTCATGATCGTTCCTCGATCTGTTGGTGCAGGTGTTGGTGCAGGTGTTGAAAATCCGAATTAGTTCCTGATTCCAGAATCTTCCAAGAGTGAGCACTGTCCCCGCGTCTCAGCAAAGCAGCAGACTTGGCAACCATGCCGAAGGTGCGAACGTCCAAGCTCAAGTACCCCGATGGCTGGGAGCTCATCGAACCGACGATGCAGGAGTTGGAACAGAAGATGCGGGAAGGTGAGGCGCCGTACCTCTGATTGATTTCTTGTCTTCACACTTCTGTAAGCACGTCTTTCCAAATGGTGGATCAAGCCCTCCAAAGTTTTGCAAAAGATGGCAGAACGGTGCTCTTATCTGTTTGGCTCGTTCGCCGAACACTTGGTTCTTTTTGATGAATTGGTGGTTTAGTTTCCCACGACTATACAAAGGTCCTCTCGCAGACACGGGCGTCGGAAGAAATGTCTCGCTTCATTCGGGGCGCTTTGTTACTTCAGAAGTATCTTGGGACCTTGTGTGATTGGTCTATAAGGTTGCAAGGATCTGCTTTGCCAATTTTGAGAAGCCACGAAGTCCCGCTGCACACATTGTTCCATACGGTCATGTCCTTCGTGAGTCGAAATTTTTCTTTGATTTTTCGAGCTAATTTCAGGGTTCATGGCCAAGATGCATCTCCGTCCCTGCATTCAGGGATAAAGTTGAGGCAGTCGTAAATGCAGAAGCAATGAATACATCCCGTGCTTCTTGCGCCAGTGAAGACGGGACTCACGAGAGACTCTTGCGGCCGCTCCTTTTGAAACCAAAGCAGTAGAAGCCAATAGTGATGGTGCCCTTGATCTTGCATTCGGGAGCAGGACCATCACGTGCGACGTTGTCTTCTGCAGCGGTTCCGGTGATGAACGAGCGAGAGCAAGTCCGAGACGCTTCCTTTTTCATAAGTAGATTCTTGAAGCAGATGAGGGTGACCTCGATAGACCAGGACTTTTTGAACTGGGGTTGACAACGATTCACTTTCTGCCGCAGCGGTGTCGATGATCCATCCAGGGAGGAACCCGACCTGATCAACACATTCCTTGCTTTAGCGGAGCTGGAAACGCACGAGGGCAAGCGCAAGTGCGAAGCAGAAACCAGATCGGACGCAGCCCTCGAAAATCCATCAAGGTTAAAGCTACCCCTACCATTTCTGCAGCGGAGCTGGAGACGCACGAGGGCAAGCGCAAGTGCGAAGCAGAAACCAGATTAGGCACAGCCCTTGACGAGAAATCAACAAGGTTAACGATATCCGAACTCCTTCTGCAGCGGAGCTGGAGACGCACGAGGGCAAGCGCAAGTGCGAAGCAGGAACTAGATCAGACGCAGCCCCTGACGAGAATTCATCAAGGTTAACCATAACCGAACTCCTTCTGCAGCGGAGCTGGAGACGCACGAGGGCAAGCGCAAGTGCGAGGCCCTGTGGCCCATCTTTAAGCTGACGCATCAGAAGAGCAAGTTCATCTACGACCTCTTTTACAAGCGGAAGGAGATCTCGCGGGACCTGTACGAGTTCTGCCTCGCACAGGGGTATGCTGACAAGGCGCTCATAGCCAAGTGGAAAAAGGTGAGAATTTCTGGACGCAAAATTCCTGCTGTGGTCCTGACTGCAGGTTCAGTCCCGCTTTTCCACCTGATCTACACACTTGAGTTCAGTGAGCGCCAACCTTGAGCACTTTTTCGCTGACGAGGCAGGTGCAGTCACTCAGTGGCCGCTTGAGGCGGTCACCTTCCGAAGCAAGTCGAGATTCGTGTGTTTAGAGCTTGTTGAACTCCTGCAAGGACGGAAAGCTTGTGAAACTGATTCACGTAAGGGGGTCTTGACTCGAGCTGTAAGCGGCCCTTTGGTCGTTTGAGTGCAAAAAAGCGTAGGATTACGGGGCCTGGTCTGGATGAAGGTTTGCCTTACCATTTCGTGATATTGGCTTCCGTCAAGTGCTAAAGTCTTTGTACAAACTGACCCAGACTTGAAGTCGGTTTGTCTTGAGTGCCGTCGGCTGATCGATTGCCGTGTCAGCTGAAGTATCCTTGTTTCTCGGGCCCGCACGCAGGCCCCAGAGAGGGTGACTTTTTGCGTCGTATGTCCATGTCAACGTTTGAAATGACGGCTGCAAAGCTCCCTGTTTGTCCTGCGTCGAGTCCCGAGCTGTCATCCGTTGACTGGCCTTTCGAACGACGCCTCCACTCCCCACAATCTTTTGCAGGTGTCGTCCACAGCCTTTTTAAGAGTCGCGTCGGCTTGACTCGACCTCAGGTGGCAAACAACCCTTCAAAGAACGCTCTTTCTTTTGGACCTAACAATCTAACTCCTCTTTTTGCAGTCGGGATACGAGCGGCTATGCTGTCTACGGTGCATACAACCGAAGGACACCAACTTCGGAACCACGTGCATCTGTCGAGTCCCCAACAAGTCGCGGGAGGAGAAAGTGATCGAGTGCACCCATTGCGGTTGCCGGGGATGCGCGAGCGGGGACCACTAGTGCGTCCCCTTGCGCGGTACCTTGTCAGAGCGTCCAAAGAATGAGGCCAGCGACCATCTTCTGATGAGTCGCTTCAATTCCAGATCTGCCGAGATCCTTGCTGAGATCCCCTAAGTCGTCATCGCTTACGGATCCAGGGAAACGTATAGCGACCAAACGGCGGCTCTCTGGTATAGTTTCAGCCGATTCGGTCGTTCTCGTACGCATGCACGCAAGCTGCGTATAGCTCCTGGTCTTAGTCTAAGTCTTTGATTGTCCTCTGTTGGTGACCGTAGGTAATCATCAGCGTCACAACTAACGACCTGAGGTGTTAGAATTGCCGGTTGTTTATTGCCTGAAACGAGCCCTTGGAGCTGACATGCGTTGTTGGCGGGCAGGCTGGACTTGCCCACCTCAGTGCAAGTGGTAATATTTCTCATGCCTGTGGGCAAGCTACGTACGGCAGTCGAGCTCGATCAGCAGATATGGTCACACGCTTAAACACTCTGTGACTTTAGAACGCTGCACCAAATGCATGCTGCATGAGCATCCGATAGTTACAGCAATATTGCGCACCTTCGTATCAATCAAGACGGTATTATGTTCATCACGTCTTACATTGCAGTGTTTGCCTCATGGTTCGATTTCCAGCTTGTCAACATGCAAACGATATTGCTGGCATGCTTATCGAGCTCCTCGATCAGGCAGCAAAACACTACACCCATAAGAGGGCCCATATATAAATATAGATATTTTGCTTGCATCTTCGAAATCTCGTGTTGCCATCCGACATATGAATGATGACGCTTGCGTTGCAAGGAATTAAACGAGCTAAATTTGCGCAACTAGGAGCCCCGCTAGCATATGCACCTTCAATCAACTGGCAAACACAAATGAAAGCTATAAATATGGTCCATCAAGGCGGCATGGAAAGGCACATGGGCGGTCGTTGAAGATCGACGGTGCATGGCCATCGTGTCTGAGCTAGGGACTGAATTGAGTGTTCACTTTCAAATTAAAATCGCATATACGCGCCGCAAGCTTGCAAGTCTGCCAACCGTATCTGAGTTATACATGCCTACACAAACTCTTAGCTCTAGGTCGATGCCTTCTACTTCAATCAGAATATGGTATGTTGTACAGAGCATATTGACAGCAATGGTCAGCATGCAAGCCTGGCGAAGCTATAGCAACGCATGCAACCGGCAGATTACACCTCCTTCTATGCGGCTTACTGACCGCGGCCAAAACTTCCAAGATTCGTCCAGACTGTCTTGACACAGAAGCAAGCGGACAGACGTTCAATACATGATCTCTACCAGTACGCGCGTGCAAAATTGTAGAGCGAGCAATGTAGTCATATTACCAATCCAGAGTATTTCAATCCACTAGACCAGCAGCAGCACCTTCCCAATATGCCCGCTGCTGTCGACCCACTCGTGCGCCTTGACCACGTCTTTCAGCTCGAACGTCCTATCAATGACTGGCTTCACTTTCCCAGCCTCGATTGCTGGCCACACATTCCGGCGGACTTCTTCCACAATGTGCGCCTTCTGCTCGAGCGGGCGCGAGCGGAGAGCGAGCACGAAAATGGTCGCACGCTTGGCGAGCAGGGCGCCCAGGTTGATCTCTCCGGTCTGTGAGTGGAGAGAGGGCCAGGAACAAGGAACAAGTTAGTGGCCGATAGAGAGCAATCCTCAAACCTGACGGCAACCTCCTGAAAAATGAACTAGCAACTTGCATGGGGAGACGAGAACAATGGAGGGACAAGACCGGATATTTGTGGAAGGAACTAGAGATAACGGCGGCGTACAATGACTAAAAAATTTATCCTAGACCAAGCAGGGTGTCTTTGACTTGAATGAAAAAAGAAGTACTTGATGGACCCGGACAGCTTGAAGATTGAACATCGTACGCCCTGAAACGACAGCGTACATTTGATCAAGTCTGCTGAAGCCACGCCCAACGAGACAATTCTTGGCGCAAAACTTTTGAGAGCAGAAAAATCATCAGCACAGGACGGCATCAAGACCCAGACGTAACGCAAAACTCCTTCTCACTTTTACTTTGTCTATCGGAAATGCAAGTCGACTCGCGTAGTCACAAGTCACCTGGCGAGTAAGCACCATTTCAAGCAAGAAGCACAGTTACACTCAGCGAATTCACAGTGATCCGCACACAGAGGTCCTCGATCTTCAGTCACCGGTCAACACTCATCGGTTGGTCATAGTCACTGGATGGTGTCCGGCAACTCGTCCTCTTACCGGGCGCTCATGCTTGTGCTCAAGCTGTTCCTTTGGCTTCTTGACCAAACACGATCGCACCAAAAGTTCAGTTTTGGCAAACCCTTGTCCAGCCAAGAACACTCACCGCGCCTCCCTGCAGCCCCAGAACGATGAGCCGCCCGTCGGGCGCCAGGCTCTCCGTGTTCTTGCTCAGGTAAGGCGCGCCCATGACGTCCAGGATGACGTCAGCGCCCTTCCCGCCGGTCTCGTGCTTCACCCGGGCCACCCAGTCCTCCGACTTGTAGTTGATGGCCACGTCAGCACCCAGCTCCTTGCACGCCTGGAGCTTCTCGTCCGAGCCTGCGTGACGGCAGTGTGACGTCAGGGTGACAAAAAGCGGCGTGCAGCGCAGGTTGTCAACGAGATCCCACCCGAAAACCAAAGCAGGAGTGACGTCAAGAGTACTCCTAGACCCTGAACGACGTCAGCAAGTGTCCGGCTGACCTAAAAACCGGTTTTCTGCAACGACATACGGGTTGCTGATTAATCGTGAAATGCGCAAGATAGTCAAGACAAGTCCAGAAACATCAGCTAAGCGGTCTTTACAAGAGGCAAGGTATCAGGGGTCTATCAAAGAGCGAGATGAGAAGAACTAGGAAAGACAGAAAGAAGGGTAAAGACAAAACGGGCAAAGTACACCAAGTTTGGAGCTGAACGCGACTCCGAGTTATGAACGTAATTCGTGTTTTGAACCATTTAAATCTGTTGATGTACCTCCGAAACTCGGGACGCTGGGTATCAAAATTAAGTCAGGCCCACGTCACGAAACCACTCCCTCTGCAAAGTGCGCCCTGTAACATTCTCGTTCAGAAACGTCCATGTGCTATGCTAAAATCGCAAAGTTTCAAGAGAGCCTCGTGTTAGAAACTTGCCTGCCGTCACGAGCACTTTGGCCCCCTTGTATTTGGCCATCTGAATGGCAAACGTCCCGACGCCGCTGGAACCCCCTGCACAACCAACCGAAGGGGATGTTTATTTATTACTGTCCCCACGAAAGAAGGCCCAAACTCCACCAGATTACCCATTTGGAGCAACTCAGATAAAGGTCTTTGATGAGACAGCGGACGATAATTATTCATCGCGCACACAGGATCGAAAAGAGAATGACAGGAAAAGGCCTAGAACGGCCATGGAAACTTCCAATGATGCACATGGGGACAGATATTGGAACGTGCTCACCATGAATAAGGAAGTTCTCGCCTTCCTGTAACTTCGCCGCCATAAACACAACGCTCCACACAGTGCACGAGACCTCCGGCAGGCCTGTGGCGTCAACCAGAGAGACGCCCTTTGGGATGGGGAGTAGCTGCGAGCAGTTCGAAATCCTTTGTCACTCTGGTGACCAGATGCTCGAATGGGATGGGCATCCGGACAACAATTTGCAACCTGCTTCTAAGAACAGGCAACCAGAACGCCCATACCAGGACGCATGCATGCGTCTTGATGAGGTGAAACCAATTCAACAAGTCAGCCAGTCTCTTCGCAGAAGAAGCAGATGAATCATTTGGTAGTCAAGACTTAACCCCAAACAATGCACACTTTTCAGACCTTTGTGGAGTGATCTCTGCGATGTTTGCGAGTAAACCTTTCTCACCTGTCCCGCAGGAACGTTGACTCGCTCAGCATACCCACCCCCCACCAGGAGTGCGCACACCTCATCGCCTGCCTTCCACCCCTTGACTTCCTTGCCCACCTCCTCAATTGTCCCACTGACCTCAAGCCCGGGGTAAAGAGACCCACCTGTATGGAAGGGCACACCCTATAGAAACACAATTTACTGTTGAGCCAGTAATTCAAGAGGCCAGTCAAAGTCTGGGGGGGGCAATGCATGGAGCTAAGAGAAGAAAGCAGCACATTGCTTGCACTTGCTAGCCCCGTTCATACGAGTGCACTACTGCTGTGTCTATCAATCAGCGATAGAAGCAGTCATTAGGGCCTTAGGAGACTTAAGCAAAGGCGTACACTCAAAGGAACTGAAGCTCTTCCAGTGAGGGGCAAAGGTGCAAGAGCAGCATTGACTGCCAAATAACTGAGATTGATGATCATTGATATCAAACCCAACATGGTCTGCGAAAAACCAAGCTGACGCCTTTTTTTGGACTGAATAGCCTTCTTATACAAAAGTAGCCTCCCTTTGAACCAAAAATCCTCCCTCAAACACCGGGTGGTTTTCCAAAAACTCCTCTCAAAAAGTATCCAAGAACGAAAGTAACCTTTCCAGCTTGAATCAGAAATAAAAGAGATCCCCCCCACCTGGTGGGACGGGGTACTGCCCGTGCCTCTGCATTTTGTCTGCCCCGTTGATTCCCGCTGCCTTGACCTTGATCATCACTTCGTTGGACTTCAGCTCAGGGGCCGGCACATCCTGCAATTGCAGAACCTCCGGCCCGCCAGCCTTGGTGATAACCACCGCCTTCATTGTTGCAGAAATTTGACACTGCAAAGCAACCTCCTTTTCACAACCAAGTTGGAGTTGTAACTTTGATCTTGACGGTGCTGCTATCAGTGCAAGCCTGTTTGCACGATCAGAGGTGCGATCAGGGCTCTGACTTCAGAGATGCTGCTAAACATCGACTGTGCTATCGATCCGTGCAACTAAGACTCAATTGCGCAGACGCCAAGCAAAAGTAAGAGAAGTCTCCTCTCTTGTTGGGGACTCTTTGAGGAACGAGCTTCTTCAGTCCAAACTGCAGCAATATTCAGCTGAGCTTCACGAAAAGCAAGATGATGGAAGGGGCGACTGTCTCATCAATCCGTCAGCTTGACTTTCAAGGCGAAAAGATCACAGCATTGCAGGAACTGCCAGCAGCTCATGACTCCCTCGATCGGCGCGGCATCTCCAGCTACCTAGCTCACTTGGATTCTCAGGAGTCAGCACCATTCTGCATGTTGTGCATGTGATCCGGCCGCAGTCCTACGAGGCGGTATACGCCGCGGTAGCGGGGCGATCCCCCTGCCCCGAGGTTTTCTAGAAGACTCTTGAATCAAGATCTCGAGTGCATCTCAGCACTGCATATGCAACTGCATGATGCAAGCAGTGGTCGTCAATAGGGCCTGGCATTTCAGAACACCTCTTTGATTCTAGGGTACACGAACCTGCATTCAAAGCCGTTCATTTAACATGTTCTAGTACCATGTGGCAAAAACCCGTGGTCTGAACCGTCGATTGCTTCTCCCATTTTCGCGCTGACCCCAAGCATGATTCTAAGACCTAATAAATACTGGTCAAATTAATTCACGATCTCAAACTGCACGCCTGATCAGGGATTCCCATGGACTTTCGTCCCGGCCAGCCAGCCACAGGCAGCCCCCCGGTTGTACCAGCTGGGTGGTAGGCGGTTGGCTCTACCGGCCAGCTGAGTGCCCTACGGACCTGTCGATTTTACCAGCTACCGAGCTGGCGGGGTGCCTTCGGCACCAGCCAGGGTCCTTTCCCGGCCAGCCAGGTCCGCCCCAGGCTGCCAGTTGTGGGAATCCCTGCGCGCCTGATCGGGCTGATGTCAACAACACGCCGCAACCTCTAGAGATTCCCACGGGCCAGCAAATCTCCATTCTCGTTTGTTAACCCCAAAATTTGCCTCGGTTCAGTTTTCGACTGTCTCGAATGTAACACTAGCCATAACCCTATTGGACGCGTCATTGACCAGTTGCAGCTCAAGCAGGCTCAAGACTTGAGTCAAGTATCACATGCTTGGTTTCGGAGGAAGCAACCTGAAGCAACCCTGGCCCTGGGCCTTTGTCCTAGTAGTAGGCAGGCCGGGACACAGAGTTCCCTTCAACTTGTTCTCCCTGCGAACGCCTCCCTTTCTCTCAAAGTGACATCAGTCCACAGGAGCCAGGTCCAGGGACAAGAGCAAGGTTGCTTGCAAGGGGTGCAAAGTGCAGTGAAGGTTGGAGCCGGTCGTTTTCAAATTTGTTAATGGTTTCATAGAGTAGAGGCGTCACCCTTGTGAACGCTTTCCTTGGGGACCAGACAGGAAAGGCATACCAGCAGTTGCCAGTTGGACTCCAAGCTAAATTGGGGATGGAGTTTCTCAAAGGAGCTGCAGAAGGGATGGACGTCATATCGATGGGGGTGCAGGCGTGTCCTTTTCTTAGGTCAATCATGAAGGACACCAATGTGGATCTTGCAAAGGCCCCCGGCGGACCTTCGGCAACCAAAGATAGGGCTCAAGGCCAGTGCCCTGCGCAGCGGGGCCCCATCTTCTGTGACGAGCCAAATTTTGAGTCAACACTAAGGTGAGATTTTGGAAGGACGTGAGCTGCGGCAGCTACAAGCTGTTTGCGTCATGGGTCCAAATTATTGAGCATGGTTCGTGATCTTGGGCCGTTAGATGGCTTTCTCATCGTCAATGTCAATAAAAGGGTTGAAGCCCAGGAACCATCCTCGGAGGGTTCGACAGCCAAATCCATTGGCAGGTTTGATGCAGAGAAGTTGCAGGCAGGTATGATGCAGAGAGCTGCAAGTTCTTTGCCCTAAGTTTTTCTCTCGGAAGTCAAGAAGAGGCATAAGTGGCAAGGCATGTGGCAAGGATGTCGCTGTGATGTTGTCGCAGGTTTGTCTGCATGGCCTGGTTTGCTTGGCCTGGTTCCTGAATGAGGCCATTTTCACACTTGATCTTGCCATGGTGGGATTCATTGACGTGATATCAACTTGTATTTTGTCACATGCTCAGGAGGTGGGGGTTCTCAGCACTTCAGCAATTTGGATCTTGCTCAATATTCATAGGGCATGCACTGTGACTTCCATTTGACTTGGTGGCTTGTCTTTCTGTTGATCGCAGATTGTTCCATGGTTCTGGGGGAGTTGTTCCGTTGGCAAGGTTCTCAGAGCAGTTGGACAAGTCTGAGGCTCCAGCAAGGGCTAAAGATAGGGCGTGTCCTAGAACACAAGCCCTAGATGGTCCGCGGACTGCTCAGCATCCACTTGCCGCATCTGCAGCCACAATCAGCATCTCTGCCTTTGGGGGAGGGGTGAGTGATTTACACCTTGTGGACACCTTTGTCTATCGTCCATTGAGTCTCGTTCGTTCTCGAGGACTCCTCAAGATCAAGCAGGATGTTACCTCAATGATGTGGACCGTACGATACCTAAAGTGCACAGAATGCTACTTGGGGCATGTTGCTATTTGCACTAACGAATTGTAAAATCCTGTATTGTGACTGTGTTGGATGCATATTTCCGAGCACGTACATTTTGATGGTAAGTGCCACCTCAATGACCCTCTCGTTGGCTCGCCTTGCAGGCTCCCAACCCTTTCAGCTGGGATGGTTTCATGGCTGCCAGAAATAAGCGTACACAGCCAGAACCAGCAAAATCTGGTCGCCCGGAACCAGCAAAGAGCAGCAGACGCCTTGAGGCATCAACTGGTGGTAGAGAGCCTGCTTCGCAGTCAGAGACTCTGAAGACTAGAGCAGAGATTGGGATTGGTCCAAAACCTCAACAAGCGAAGGCAAGAGCAAAGCCTGCGAAGGCAGTTGCTGCGCCAGAAGCGCCTACGCAGGTGCGTCGTTCTGCTTGTTTGCACCATCGCGTGCTCCTGTGGTTTTGCTTGAGCTGTGCATGCACGGATGGAAGTTGTCTAAAGGATATTAGAGTCAACTTGAAAGTAGTGATTTTGCCAGCGTCGGGCATTTGTGTCTCTGACGTTGTCTTTCAATACAGTGCAATGACCTCATCGCTCGCCGTGTGCTGTCCCCTCAATCTGTGATTAGGGAATGAAGAAGTTGCTGCCTTTAATGCCTTTTTGCTTCCGCATGAGGAGTATTTGAGCAGTCAAATACTAATGTTCTTAAGGCCTGCATCAGAATCGCTCTCCTGAGCGATCTTGCTCGCCCAATGCAAGTAACCCACTGGCTGCTGCATCCCTTTCTCCATCCCTTGACCCCCCCTCCCGTGCGTCTCTTGCAGCAGCACGTCCACGGAGAGCCGGTGGATGCCAAGGAGTGGCTCAGCACAAGCAACTGCCCCATCGCCAAGATGCACCGTGTGATCATGGAACTGGCCCCCGCAGCAACCGAGCTCTTCCGCAACCCCCAGAACATCAAACTCAGCTGTCCCGCCCCCATCATTGCTGCCAGGGTTGCCCTTTCCAAAACCCCCCCCATCCGGCAGTTGCGCCCCCAGCCCCTGGAATGGAAGCTGCTCGCGGTGGGGGGTTCCACACTAGCGGTGAATGTGCCTCTCGGGATGTGGAGGGAGCATGTCGAGAAGTTCTCGCCGGAGTGGTTCGTGGCGGTGCACGCGGCGGTTCCGTTCGTGGCGATGCTGAGGAAGGCGGTGCTTATCCCCAAGACGGCAATGGTGCTCACGATTTTAGCGGCGATCCTGGGGCAGGTGATTGGGTCGCGTGGGGAGCGGTACAGGTTGCAGCAGAAAGCGGCAGCGCAGCGGCAAATGGCGGCAAGTTCGCCAGGGGGAGGGACGCCTTTCGTCAGAGCGACGGCAGTGCAGCAGCCGGCAAGAGTTCACGCGGATGTTAGGAGAGCGGAGAGGATGAAAGCGGAGGGCGACTTGGAGGCGCCGGCAGCCGGATGTGTTGCTGGCTTGGGGGTTTTCGACCTGTTCTCGGGAAGGGCAGAGGAGCTGGGCTGGACGCCAAGCCGAGTAAAGGGCCGTGGGGTTAGCGGCAAAGCATGTCGGTCCAGTTGGAAGCTGCCTACTGCGAACGGGCTGGGTTTGGAAGGGAGGTCTACGTGGGTGCACTGATAAGTGCAGTTCTTGTCGACGCAAGTCAACGCAATAAGTCAAGCTGTTGCACATTTGCGGCAGATTGTTTTGTTACTGCAATAATCGACAGCACACTTATGGAAGTCGCAGAAAGTATTTCGGAAAAACACAACTTGACTTGAGAGAAAATTAGGTAGGCATGATGGGTGCTCGTTTGATGTGGTCAAAATTTGATATTCTTCTTTTTTTGTTGTTGAAGATCATGTTTGTGCATGATGGTGTATAAAGGTTGCATGTACATCGGTCTGATTGAGCTTGATTTCAATCTAGGCTCACTTTCAAGCTAGCTTTTCACATGTGGATTATTCAGGCATGACCCAATGACCATCTTGAACGGATGGTGTACATTGCCGCATTACTAGTCATTCCCAACCAATATTGGACCGTCACATGCTACTGAACCGATGCAGCTGATCCCGAGGTCGGTTGCAGGCACATGGATTTGAGTGCCAGATGCACACGTATATGCACGACACTGAACTCTTATTGACAGAACGGAAGAAGGGAGAACGTACGTGGACTCCCAAGCCGACGTAAGGGACCCCTCCTAGCTATAACCCCCTAGGATCGACGGTCTGGGTTGACTGGATTCACTGATTCTGACCGTCGAAGGGGTTATAGTTGAAGGGCGTCCTACGCAGTCTGCCGGGAGTCCCTGTTCTCTTTCCTTCCGTTCTGACAGGAATACAATGAACTGACTGCAGGTGATCGTCGCTGCATTTGTACATGTAAATCTGTGTGATGAGGATTTCACGAGGACTTTTATGTACGAAAGCCTAGGATTGCACTGCTTCGTTCTATGGTAGACTTCGTTGAATTGAAGCGATAGGCACGACCATGAGTCAGCAGTAGGGTATGTGTGGAGTAAGCGCTTCTGTGAGTAGTACGCCCGGGTATATGTTACGGAATTGCTGGAAAGGATGATCTAACCGGGTCTAAGTATTCAGATCCTAGCGCTCTGAAGCTTTGCAGGGCAGGTAGCTCAGTTTCGTGAAGTGCATGAGGAGCCAATTCAACTGCTTATGATCATGATAAATAGCAGAAAGCTATCGAGAAGCTGATGCAAAAGGAAGCAACTGGATCCAATTGGCGCAGATTTGAAGTCCAAGTAACACCCGAAGACGCTTCAGGTCAGCGAAGCAATTTACAAGCAAGCCTTAAAATTATATCCAAAACCACCGTTCAACCCCTTCCGGGCTACGGCTATACAAAGGGCGAGAAGGACCTTTCGACCTCTAACCTGTAAGAAGAACCTTTCGGACGCTGCAACCTAATCTCAACAGCAGCCGTTGCCAATTCGGACCTGACAAAACCTAGAGGCGATCCGGGCCTTGGACCAGAGAGCGCTGACCTCTGCAGCAACGGGCCTGCGTGACACGAAGGGAGCAAAACCTGCACGAACGGTCGAAAATTCACCTCAGAGTATGCCCGTCAAGTCGTGAAAGGTCTGAAGAAGCGCTCGTTGCGAAGGCGAGGTGACATGAGAATGGGATTGGGTCTGACGAAGGGGAACTGGCCAAGATTTGCTTCCACCGGGACTTTTGCCGCCGTTTCTCCAAACGCCTTCTTGCAGAGAAAACGTCTGACTGATTTTCTCGAAATAGAAACATCCCACATGGCGACAAGTACCCTAAATCTGCCATCGGATCGATGTAGTCGCAGGCCGTTTCTCTCATCTGCTTAGATCTCAAGCATTGCCATTCAAGTCTATTCTGAGCTCGAGATGCATCAGCAAGGACATCGAAGAACAGACAAGGACATCGAAGGACAGACAGCATCCAGCAAGTTACAAACCTGAGCAATCGCAAATTGAAGGTTTCCGATCCCTCGTCTTCAGACGGGAAACGAGTCAACTTGAACGGGTGTGCCACGAAGACCTGAACTCGTTTCTTACCAACTTGACACACTCAGCTCTTATCATTAGTTTTCCAGGTTGGTTCGACATGAAACAAAAGCCAATCAGTTTCATTAAGGAACAACTCGAGAAGTCAGCGGGTTCTTTCTGACCTCTCTCAAGCCATGGCAGTCTCTGCAGCCCTCCGGTCAACTCCTGTAAGAAGTTGGCGATCAATCTTTTTTCACTCATTCTTACCTGAAGGGGTCGGAGGCACCGCTAGCACCGTTTTAGAAACAGTTGAACTTCTTCGCGAGAGATTTGTCCATCTCGCAAGCTGGCTCCAAAACTTCAGGAACAAAATCCCTGTACCACTCCCCTCCTTCTGCATTCTCCAAATCGCTGCTGGCATCAATGGTGACCATAACTCTGACCAGTTTCGACAGCTCCTTCTGGAACTCCTCGTCTTGCAGGAGAGCCTTAGGGGTGGTGATGCGTCTTTCCTCTGCTTTCCTCTTCAGTGGAAGGAAGGCCTTGCCTGGGAGCGGCACCAAAGTCATGTCAATTGGCTCAGATTCTTCTGGTTCGGATTCATACCCAAGGGACTTGGCCAGTGTTTTATCAATGTCGCATGCAGGCTCCACAATATCCGCAAAGAACTCCCCATACCATCGCGTACCCTCAAGGTTCTCGGGGCTTCCTGTCCCATCGATGCCTGCTTTTGTTCTGACCAATTTCACAAGCGCCTTTCGGAACCCCTTGTCTTGCAGAAAGGCAGCCGGAGTCGTGATGCCTCTCTCCTCCGCTCGTCTCTTGAAAGGAAGCAAATCTTTGCCTAGCAGAGGTTCCGCAGACAAGTAGAAAGGCATTAAATCTTCGAGTTCGGGCTCGTCCTCATCGAACATGTCTCCGGAAGAGCCAAGCGTCATGGACTCCACTGCCTCGGGTAGCTTCTCCATGCTTCTTTGGCAATCTGAACACCACTCAACTGCCAAGCATTATTCAGAGGTGTACTTACCAAAAAACTCCACCACAGGCTGCAAAGGCAGACGGACTTCTCTACGCACAATCTCGAAGCCCTTGTTACTGTATCTTGCGCTATAAGCAGGTGCCTTCTAAGCCACTGCAAACCGTCGCGTGCGTCCGCGCGCGCTGTAATATCAAGTTTGTTCAGTCGTGCAGCCTTCTTCCTTGCCGATCGTCAAAGTGCGTCAAAGCCTTTGAGCTATGCCACGCGGCTATGTGTCAGTCGCATTACGTTACAATCTGAAGCTGATTGATTGACACTACGGTCTGATACAGAGTCGCCGTCTTCGCTGAGACGCTGGAGGCTGCGCGCTTTCGCAGGAGTTCAATCACGCAGTACAACTCTATCCAGCTCAGCAGGAGGTTCAGAGGCTTGCTAGGGAGCTAGCGCTCTGGTACGCGAGGGTTTTGTTCGAAGGCGCACCACTGCAATCAATCCTGCCTGATAACTCCATACTTCTCTCTCTGAAAGCGCGCAGTTACTAGAAACATGAGGATAGACTTGGTTTGAGGCTAGAGTAGCCTTCCTAGTCATTCAAGTCCCAGATGGTGCCCTAAGGTTGTCTTTGTTCAACAAACAAACTTCCTGGAACATGGAAAATCTAGACGAAGCGTCTGTGGCGAGTGACCCAGCCAATCCCTTCGACCACTTGCCTTTGGATCTTGTGAAGAAGATTCTTGGCGTGCCCGACAACTTACGGTCGGTAGAGCGGGCAAGGCGGCTGCGGGCTACCTGCAGCTTATTCTCTTGCATGTTGAAAGAGGAGAGAGTTCTTCTGTGGAATATCGGGAAGGACCAAGACGCGACACGATTTCTCAGGTTCATCTCTTGCAATCCAAATGCACAATGGAAGAGGATCGTGCTGGAAGACATGCGCGACAAACCGCTTGATCTGGCGGTTGTCGCTCCAGTCCTGTTGTCATCGGCAGATTCCTTGGAGTCCCTGACTCTGTACCTGCTTTGGGATTCCATTGGTGGGATTGATAATGCTTCAGCTGGATGGAGCGAGCTAAGTGCCATGCTCCAGGGTTGCAAAAACCTCAAGAAGGTATCAATAGACTCCTACAAGGGTGAAGCATCTGTGAGTCTCTCCTCCGCCTTCACCCTTACGAAGCCCCTTTCCTCCCTTATTGAGCTAAGAATGTTCCGCCTGACGGCGTCCCCGGCTACTTTTCACAGTACGCTGTCAGCCTTGCCAAAGCTGAGGCATCTTACTGTCAGCCTACTTAAGAAGCTCCCATCCTCTGAGCTCGGAAACTTGGACGAATACGTTGTGGCATCCAGCACTTTGGAGCAGCTACGTTGGTGCGACGGTATTAAGGGGGTCGATTATTACGTCACTAGCAGACTAGTTGTCAAGGCTCCTACTTTGAAGAAGTTGACCGTGCGCACTGGCCGGTTGGTCATCCTGCGCTCTAGGTCACTAGAATGGCTTTGCCTCCGCAATAAAATACTTCTCGACAGCGCCGAATCAATGGACTCTCTGTTAGATTTAAGCGTCGTAGGAACAGGAAGTTGGGCTGCCGTGTTCAAAATCCTGACCGCCTCACCGAACGTGACCTCATTGGATATCCAAGACTGGCATGAGAAGAGCTACCCATCGCTGCAGAAACTCAGCAAAGTATGCGGAAAGGTGCGCTTTTTGCGACTCCATCCGGAAGCCTGGTCTCTCATCAGTAAAGTTGGCGATGGCAAGATCTTTCAGCAGGGCGACAGCCCATGCTTTCAAGAGCTTCAGCGTCTTCACGTTGAGTTGGATCATTGGAATTTCTGCACGAAGCAGGAGGCTCTTTCGAAGCTTAAATTGATTGTCGCCGCGTGTAAGAGCATTCAACAGATGGATATCACTATTTGGCTCAAGGACGAGAGGAAAGAGGACGTTTTGAAGGTGGTCACAGGTCTTGCCCGAGACTATCCTTCGAGCTGGTTTGTGATAAGAGATTGCTGGGTTTCTCCCAGTAAAACGATTGCAATCAAGTCGGACCGAATTCTGAGACCTTAAGAAGTCTTGCAGCCAAATCGGACAGCTTCGTTGCAAAGAGTCAATCTTTCAACATAAGTAGAATGTGAAGAGAACCAAAATTACAAGGGCTCGTTATCGAACATGAAAATTTGCCACTAGTGTGGGTACGTGCGCCACAATTGGTTCAAACGAAGCATGAAATCAACGGAAAACTTGCTTGACGTGTATCGTGGGATGGGTATATTGACATTCTAATACCTATCGAGTCATCCTCCATTTATCTTCCGCCTTTTTGTATCGGTAGATTACAAAACCGTGCAAATTTTCACATACAAGACCTTATGTCTACTTACTTGTTGCAGTATACGTACTTGGCATCAAAAGCATGATCGGCGACAATTAGAATGCCCCATGATGAAGGCGACAATCAGAGCCAAGTCATGAAAGGAGCCCTCACTTGAGTTGCAGGTCGACGGTAGATTAGTCGCCCAAGACGGTCTGCTGCGCATGACGCGGCACCGTTGTGGACCGGCCTGCAATTCGTGTTTTGCCGTGGGCGTCACCTTTCTTGACGCATTCAATGCAGAATAAGTCGCAAACACATGCACTTGTCTTTATATTGCACGTAAGCTTGCTCCCGGCGCTTTTCAACCAATCGCATATCCGCATGCTTATCATTAGGTTTCCAACCATTTAGGTTTAAGAACCTTGTGAACTAATCCCACGCAAAAACTCCAGCTACGAAAATTCCATCGTGTTCAATGTCATTGAATTGCACATGATTACTATGCATATGCCAAATCATTGCACCCGATCCCTTGCATGACACCAATCAATGATGCACCTAGTACGCCTACACATGTGAGTCATGATGTGACGCAGTACAGCCTGGCCCGGGCCGCACAGACGGTCACTCGATCAAATCTAGTGTTTTGGTAAGGTAATGTATTTCGTAAAAGCGACTGCCGCCTCAGGCGAACTTACGCATGGATGAGTCTTGGTGAGGCAACTTCGCATGTCCGACTGGTTATACCGTCCTATGTCATGCACGCCACGAGTTGACAAGTGATAGGCTATCAATACCCTTGTGCGATGGGTGAGAGTGGCACAAGGTTTCGCATTATGCAAGGAGGCACAATGCAAGGGCGTTATGGACAAGGATCTGCACAAATGAAGTTTGAGCCTTTCTATTCAGTTTGTCTCGGAATCTGTACAGTGAATGCGCAGGCTGCTAAAACACGAGACACAAGGCGTTCGGGTTGAACACTTTCGCCTCATAACCTCCGACATTTAGGAAGATTCTCTGATCAGACCGTTTCAGAGGGCGGATGTTCGGCTTGAGTCTCTTCAGCAGGGGCTCCTTCGATTCGAAGAACCTCTTCTGGCCTGCATAGTGTACGGGAGATATTTAACACTAATAATGCATTGGGGGCGATAAGAATCCGGACTGCAAACAGACAAACAACAGCGAACCGCACACCAATGCGTTTGTCACCCTTCGACAAAAGCCGCGTACAAAGCGCCCCCTTTGGACAGGGGCAAATCGAATCCGAGCAAACCGATTCGTCCTCTGGTCACATACCGGCAACCGGCAAACAATTCCGAAACTCGGCTGTGCATACGTCTGGAGCCCTTTCCTGGGGAGCCTCATGGAGAGCAGGCGTTATTTTATACGTGAACTCTGACCCTCGATCCGAGAGAAGAGTTGTTTGGGCGCTTTTGTTTTCTCGAATTCTTCCTCTTCGGATCAGATCTGTTGATTGTCGCACGATTTACGTTTGAATCTAAGCTTTCCTGACGCCTCCGGAACGGAAGCAGCCGCGCTGTATGGTCAAGTCCACTACCGTATGCAACTCATCCAATAGAGACGAACGAAGAGAGACTAAGGAACGATGAGCAGATGGCCGGGGATAGTGACCCTTACCGGTAGAGTATTCTGAGCTCCGGCTGAGCCAAGAGTTCGACCATCAGGGGCGGCCGTTCGTCCGCTAGCTCGGGGGACCTGCAGGATGCAATTGGGACACAGCTTAGGCCGCAGCCGAGCGTTCCCTTCCCGCAGGCGAGGCTGCCATTGAACGTGATCGAATTGTTTGCAAAGACGGTGGCGCAAAGCATGCCAGTGTCTAGTGGTAGCAACCATTGGACGTTTTGCCCAAAAACACTTGCAATTGATCCACCGGCGCGGAAGGAGCACGATTGACCAGAGAATGAAACAAGACAGCACTCAAGGCATCCCTGTGTCCATTGCACGCTACAGTTGCCAGCTACAAATCAGACACAGGAAGCTTTTCTGACCAAAATCTACCAGCGTGCACGGGAGCAGTAATAACGAAGTGCCACAGAGGACAGCACGCACAGCATCGCCGTATTGATCGTCGGCAACCACTGCACGACGTGTACCCAGCCGCGAACCAGACGCTTATTGTTAATCCGTCCAAAATCCCTACCAGCGCACATGCAAGTACAATTCTCACACGAAACACGACCGAAAAGAGCACTCACAGCATCCCGGTGTCGATCGTCAGCAACCGATGCACGACTTCCCCCCCGGTCGCAACCACACTAGCCACGAGCGCTCCCGCGTCTGGGTGCGGCCACACCCTTGACGGTCCGAACCGCAGCAGAAAGGTACCCTCGGGATGCGGTGCTAATAAGACTTCCGCTTCGCCACGTGTCAGAAAGCCAGCGATCCACGGGTCCCCGCTCTCCCAAAGTTCTCGTAACTGGGGGTTAGCGAGGGTTAGCGCGACCGGGTAGAGCCAGTGCCAGAGGCGCTCGAACTCGGTGCGGCTGCAGTAGTGGGTGCCACGCACGATGACGTGTTTCAGGAAGGCGCGGTCCTGCAAGAGAGGGTTAGGGCTGGTGAGGAAAGAAGTCGACAAGCAGATTTTTTAGTGTGCTTAGATAAAAGGGTTGAAGTTGATAAAGAGAAGCTCCACAATCTCTTGAGCAGACCAGCTTGATGATTGGTGCCGCACACACGATGACGTGTTTCAGAAAGGCGCGGTCCTGCGAGGGACGGTTGAAGATGGGTAGGAAGAGGGTTTGGGCTGACCAGAGGGGAGGGGTGAGGTTGGTGCGATAGGAGGTACAGACTTGGTGAGAGACGAGCTTCACACGATTTTCCCGCAAAAGTGCGGGTGCCCCGCATGATGACGTGCTCAAGAAATGGCAGGAGACGGTTGGGTTGGTTATGAGAGGGTTTGGGCTGGTTAGAAAGGAGGGATAAGCTCAGACTCCTTTAAAAGAGCGGACACTATTTCTGTGCGACTGCACTAGAGGGTGCCACGCATGATGACGATTTTCACAAGAAGATGCGGTCCTGCAAGAAAGGGTTAGGACTGGCTAGGAAAGAAAGGTCTGGGTCTCTCAGAAGAACAATCCGGGTGTGCTGAGGTAAAAGAGTTGAGGTGGTTGAAGGAGGTAAAAGTATTCAGAGATTGTTCCAGAGAAAGCAGTGGGTGCCAGGTCTGGGATTCGTTCGAAAGGTATGGCCTGGCCAGAAAGATGCGGTCTGGGCTGCTTGGATAAGAAGAATGGACTCAATGAAAGAATACAATCAGAGACTATTTCCGGAAGAGAGCGGCTGCAGAAGAGGAAACCGTGCACTTTTGACAAAAGCGCGACAAACGAGAAGAGGGAACGGACATGCCACATCGATGATTAACGGCCTAGGAATGAAAGAGAGGAACGCTAACTCAATTGCCCGGACAGTGGCCCCAGTCAGCGGCTGGAAGTCACGATGAAGGAGAGCGGAATGTGCACCAAGGAACAAAGGGCAAGAGTGACTCATTGAAAGCTCACTCTCGCCGAGAAAGTCCGGTCCATCGCCTCGGTCAGTCGATGACTCTTACAACGAAACCATCGGAGCAAAAGGAAGACCAAGACGAAGGCACAAGCGACAACCCCACTGCTACGAAGAAGACAAACTGCTAGGAAAGGAGAAAGAAGGCCAAAAATTGCTCACTCTCTCGGAGAAGGCCCGTTCCGTGGCCCCGGTCAGCCGCTGGAACTCGTGCTCGACGTCTCGTAGCAGCTCCCCCAGGACCACGGGGTAGTGCGCAGCCTCCGCGCGCTCCCACAGGTCGTCGCCGTCTTGGAGCAACCGCTTGGAGATGGCTATTTGGTACCTGGAAGAAGTCAACTGTCAGGACGGATAGAGGCAGAACATGGACTTCCGAGCCGACATTAGAGACCCCTCCTGAATATTACCCTCTAACGATCGACGGTCTAAGTGGAGTGAAATCACCAAAGTTCCCCGTCGATCGCAGAGTTCTTTTTTGAAAGGGGGTTACTTAGAGAGTCCACTGGGAGTCCCTGTTCTCCTTCCATCCGTTCTGTCAAATACGGTTTGGTTTGGTTGGTCGAGCAGGAGCTTTTAAGGTCAACGCCGTCTTGCAGCAACCGCTTGGAAATGTCAAAAGACAAAAACAGGCTTGTCGACGTTTACTGGCTTCTAGCAGGGGCGGACAAAAGGTAGGCCCGACCTGCTAGGCTCTGCCGGGAAACGAAGGCGGCAGTCGAGAATCTTCCGGCTTTTATATGCATACCAGAAACTTGAAGTCTCAGGCCCTTTATGATACTCCACATCTTACATCCCGCGCCTCCCACCTTTTGTATGGATACCTTCCGCCGTCCGAGATCTCCTGGCTTCTGCAACCATATCAGACCCTGAACTTGAGTCCCCACTGTTAGTGCCGCAAATGACCTATACGTCTAACCCAGACTGCTAAACCCTAAAACTACGCCCCTCACCCGTTCTGCCGTCACCCCGTGCCATTAAAGGTCATCTGGCTCCTGCATCGAGAGCCAAGAAACCAGAACTCCATTCTCAAGACCAAACGAAAAATGCAATACCCTGAAACCGCAAATTTCAACCGATAACCGCGCTCCTCACCCGTTGTGCCGGCACCCCGTGCACTGCGCGACCCGCTCCGCAAAGTGCGCCAGGTCCGCTTCGCTGCGCTTCTTCACGGCCGCTTTCAGGAACTCCCCCCGGCTGGCCATGCTCTCCAGCGAGTATTTGTACACCACCTGGTCCTGGAAGCCGCCGTTCTCGGTGTGAATCGGCTCTCGTTGAGCAGGGGCTGAGCCGTTTTGCGCGCTTGGGGGGGGCTCTCGGGGCTGGCCCCCCATCAGTGCTAGGGCGGACCTGAGAGGAGGCGGAGAACAATTTGAGGTGGCACTATGCTCCCCAGAGTTCTTTGCGGGTGGGAGCTTCCGGAAAACCTCAAACAAGAGAGAACACTCGCTCTCAGAGGACGAGCATGCCGCCGCTAGGGCGTTTCTAGAAAGCGAAAACAGACAGGGGGTCAGAATGCAGTCCAGCCAGGGCGGGCGGTTGGGAGCGGACAGACTATCAGAATTGAAGCGGACCTACGAAAGATAGTGGAAGCGAGGGTACCACGAACGGATGTTGTGCTTCGACTGTTGCCGCGGGGATATTCGGGAAGAGATCAGTGGCAATGTGGGACAGCCCCTTCCATGGGCGTTGTCGTGTAGTGCATCAGATGGTCCAATCATTAAGCAGCGAAGCCACTTCTTCGAAGACAACCAGCTCTTCCGACAAGAATCACCAAACCTCTTTTGATTTACTTCTGTTTCTTTGTGCTTATGTTGCTCTTGGCGGTTCCTGAATCGGAATAACCTCCAATATGACAAGACAATGGCACGACTGTTCTCACAAGAGTACGAACACAACCTAACGAGCCACGTGTGCACTGATCGGATTGATGACGGCGACCGCTGGTAATCTCCGTTGTTTAGTCCCAGTTACGCAATTACGTTAACATCGTTCCGCTCTGCTGTTCCCCTCACTTTCGTATCTCCGCGTCCAAGAAGCTGAGCCCCTCCTCCTTGATAAAAAAATTCAGGTCAAATAGTACCTTTTAGGATACCATTCACAACTTTTCTAGTAAATGCAGGCTTATCACTTACTTTTGAATCTCCGCGTCCAAAAAGCTGAGCCCCTCCTCCTTGCCAAAGAACTCCAGGTCAAACGCGCCCGCGGGTGACGCGCCCCCGTTCAGCCGCCGCTTCTTCCGCGCGCCCGGAGACTCTGGCAAAATTGCCAAATCGTGCTTTGACAGAAACTCGGGGCCCCACCGGTGCGGCAGCTGACGTGGCACTCGCACGCGCGAGACACAGCGGATGGGGCGCGAGAGCGCGCGCAGGAAGGGGTGGCGCGGAGTGGGGCCGACGGGCTCGAAGCAGACGCGGAAGAGGCGGTTGTCGCACTTGGACGAGAGCTGCGAGGGAGAAAGTAAAGCAAACGGTTAGAAAACCGTTTGAGTCAGCGAAGTGGTTAGGGATGAAAGGGGTACACTGACGGGCTTAGCAGACGCGGGAGAGGCGGTTGTCGCACTTGGACGAGAGCTGCGGGAAGGGCAGGAGAAGGTTAAGTATACGGTTGGAAAATTAGAAGGGTTAGCGAATGGGTTAGGGGTGAAAGGGGTGGGGCCGACGGGCTCGAAGCAGACGCGGAAGAGGCGGTTGTCGCACTTGGACGAGAGCTGCGTTCAGGGGAAGAATAAGCTCAGGGAAAAGGTTTAGGAATGGGTTGGAGAAAATGGAGAGAAGCTTACGGAACGAGTTTGATTGCCCCATTTCCAGGTAGCTCGAAGCAGACGCGAAAGAGGCAATTGTCGCATTTGGACGAGAGCTGCGATGAGCGGCAAAGGGGAAATCAGAAGACCGTTGGTAAAATTATGCCGGCCACTAGTCACGGACTGGATGGAACGGTGTCCTCGGATTCTCAGAGGGTTGTCAAGTCCTAGAAGAGGACGTTCAGCCTGAGGTGATCTGTGGAAAGTGAATACATTGAATGCCCGTTCTCACAAGAAGCTGTGGAGAATCGACTGACCAAGAGCCCAGTGACGGCTGAGGAGAAGCAGGCTCGGAAGCACGGAAAGGGTAAAAGAGGGAAAGTAAGTGTCGATGATTTTATAGATTCAATCTGTAGGAGATTGAGAACCACCCGCAAGGCGGGCGGAAAATGAATTCAACCAAGGTTCAAACGCCCCTGAAAACTCCCCCCCTGGCCGCCAAACGACAGCTACGTAGGGTGCGCACTTGAACCCTCCAATCTCGAAGCAGATAGGTGGAGACTTCCACGGCAAGATTCAAGTCTCCGAACAAAAGGAAAGAACGAAGAAACATAACCCACTTGTGAGATCTTAAGCTTGAAGGTCGCCCGTCCGTGGATCAGTCGCACGGGCACGTCGGTCGATGGGTACTCGACGCCGTCAACAGTCGACAACAGCGGCACCTCTGCGTCCTCTTTCAGCTTAGTGACCCGGCAATTGTCGTCCGCATAGATGAGCACCGCTTGCACCTGCAGAGAGTAATGGTACCAAATCCAGTCTCACTGAAGTGCTGAAGACAGGTTTCGAAAGTTATCTTTTACAAATCATGGCTCTTTTCGTCTCTGCGCCGTCATGCGAATCAACCGGGCACTGGTTCATCCCAGATGCTCCTTTAATCCAATAGCGAAGTGACGTGACCTTCGTCGGACCATAACGCTGATTATAATGGATATGCTTTACCTCAGGGTGTGACGCAGCCATCCAAGAGTCAGCTCACGACTAGGCTCGCAGGCTCAACCTCCTTCTGACGGGAGAGGCTGACTCAAAAGGCGACTTTTGAGGGTCTCCGCCCCAGCTCTTGGTCGCCACACAGGAAGCGGTACTCACATCGATCTCTCGGTGGACCGGCCTTCCCAGCGCGTCCATCAGAGCGACCTCCAAGTTGAAGTTCCGCCGACATGATGCCTGCAAAAAGAACCGGAATCTTATCAGAAGCGGGTGACCGGATACAAGCGGGTAAGAAACCTGGAATACAAAATGTGCTCCAATAATGAACATCGGAGTTGGAAATCTCGGATAGTCTTAAAAAGGCTGAGGGTCTCAATAAGCGCTGAGCCGTGATTCGAGTACTAATAGTCACGGCTGTCAAACTAATCGTCGTGAATCTTTGAAGCGGCTCACCTTCCCGCCGACCACGCTCCAGATGCCGTCCGACGAGACCTCGATCTCGTTGTCGTCCCCCTCGCCGGTCTCCGACGTGTCCAAGGTCAGCTCGAGCGGAGGGTTCTGCAGAGGCAAAGGAAGCCTCCGTTCCAATCTTCTCCAAGATTGAAAAACGTAGAGTCGATACTTCACTTTTTGGAAGTACTGGCTTGCGAAGATAGAGAAAGGCAGGAACACGGTTGCTGTGGCTGCAAGAAAAGGGACTATCGCAAACAACGCTGCCAGGTTCAAAAAGGTCATGCGTGAGAAATCCTGGGCGAAGAATACTTTTTGAGGACTCCGTTCGTTGTTGCCACGGAGAATAGTATGTCACCGCAGAGCCCTCGCGTTATGGGGTCTGATGCTTTGAACCATCGGCGTCAGAAGCAGACAGACTCGGACTTTCGTCCTCCCACTGACGTTCATTGAGAGTAGATGGAAGGAACTCAACTCAGCACGAAAGGTGGAGTAACGGTTCCCTTTTTTCTTACCGCTCACGCTGGCTCTTAATTGGAACGTGTAAACAGGGGCGCCGGTATGATGGGCCTTCATTGAATAGATAGCCTGCCGGGTGCTCACCGAAAATGTTTCTGTTTGGCATTTAGGCAAGTCAAATCGCTGCTTATATGAGTGCGGGCCAGCTCCCGAATTGTTTGCCAGGTCTCATCAACATCTCCCACCTTGCTACTGACATCAACTTTTGGAGAGTTACGCTCGCATGAGGACACCCAACATTGTAACCCAGAGGAACAACAACCTTCAAGTCAGATTACCGACAAAGGTTCGCACACGCGCCTACCTTTACATAGTGCTGGGTCACCTCCGGCGTCCGCAACAACCTGACGAAGTGCGCATACGCCTGGACGGAACCCCCCGAGGGGGAGCCGTCCCCCCCCGACAGCAGCACAGGGCCTGCATCTCCCCCCACGCCACCCCCGTCTGCCGGAATCTCTTTCTGAGCCACCACTACGGTATCGATATGGAGCCGCGCCAAGTTTGGTCCGACCTGCCAATTTGATTGAAACAAATGTTCATCATGTTAGATAACACATTCCAACGTGAGAAGTGTTATGGAAGTGCGACACAAGAGGCATTGAGGTGGAAGGGGGGGAGGGCATCGATTCGACCGGTATGGTGGGACCTAACGAAGGCATGATGCCTTGTAACAACAGGTTTTACTCAGCGGCTAACATCTGCAAAGGGTAGGTGGTTGGGAATAGAGGAGGATCCTCACAGAAGGGCCCACGTTTGACCTGGTCTCTGTCTCCGAGTAATCTTGGTTGGACTCTACAAACCAGACCGTACGTTGAAGGGTAAAAGCAAGGCTGATCTGCCTAGCACCTTCGCTTCAAAGAGGGCCGGGCAACTTGTCCAAACGCTTTATAAATTGGCTGAGCGCCCTTGATCACTATACATTTATCTAAGAGTCCTTAAAGTGAGGAAAAGCGGCATTGCCAACTGGTCTCGAAGGCACAGTTCACTACGAACAGACGCCAATGCCCTTCCGCTCGTCGAGACCCCAACCGAAGGCCTGCGGGTATTCTGCGTACTTGTCCTATATGTTTGTCTGACATCAGGGCAGTGGAATGCTCACCTCAGCCCCGACGTGGATCCATTTTTCAAGGGGGCAAGCAATGTCGGAGGTCAGAGTGGCATTGCTTGAAAGGGAAAAATCCGCAGGGGCGCTTGTGAGAGGGGGGGGAGGGAGCGGGTGGAGCGTAAGCTTGCGCTCATTGTCCAAGGTGATGAACGGAATGGCGGAGAGGGCGCGGGGGCGGCCCTGCAAATATTTGACGGGGGGGCAATCAAATTTGTAAGAAGGGGCGAAAGACATGCACCGTCTGTCAGCTGCTAAATGATGGAGTGCACAGTGAAGAGAGGAATTGCAGGCAACGCTCCTTTCGAAATCACTGTCAAGTGGGGAAGACCTGCAGGCTCTGCAAGCGGGGCGTACGCATGTGGTACACATTCAGTACGTCACTTAAGCCCCAGTCTGACTTTCATGTTGTGCTTGAAACAAAAGTGTAGCTGAGGGTGCCAGGTTTTGTTTTAACACCATCGCCAAAAAGGATTGCACATTGCAAGGCGTCGAATGCATCGAAGAATTCAGCAGCACAGCGAGTCTCTGAAAGGAAGAACCTTGTAACATCCTTTGCGGCAAATTGTCAATCTAACCGCTCTGGCAGAATTGAAGGGGCCTACTGAATTGAACGAGTTTGGATTTTGAGGAGAAAACTCCAAGACGACAAAGTATGGCACCCTGGGAGGATCGTGCTAAAATGGACGCAATGAAGCCAGCTGACTTTGTCTGAGAAATCGCAGTGTTCCAGTTGTACTCTAATGCACCAGATTGAAAGCGAAAGCCCCCTCTCACCTGCCGGATGACCACCCCAGCTCCCGTGTTCTTGACAAGGTAGATCCAGAAGCATATGTTAAAGCTGCCCTCATCATGTGTGACACCCTTGTTTAAAGCTACGGACAGTTTGCTAAGGACAGAATACTCTTGACTTTCAAACGCACCAGGGAACTGTATAGGCTTTGGAGCTGGCGTAGGGGCCTCTGATTGTTTCGGTTCTGTTTGATTGGACGCATTCGCTGAAGGAGAGTCGGAGGCCTCGGCACCGTTGGCTATTCCCGCCATGTTGCCAGATGGGGAAGTGATCAGAGAGCGCTGCGCTCACCCCTCATAATTATGAGCAAGTGCAATAGAACTTGCTTTTCTTACAGCATACTGTATTCGTGCCTCTTCTCCCCTGTCACCGCCACACAGGTGAAGTCAATTTGAATGACATATTGATGGGGGAATCAAATGTGCCCTAGCCTGAGGCAGGAGCGCAGCAACAACTAGGGCGAGATCGAACTCGTCTAGATGGAATGTTTGATGTCAAGTCGTAGAAGATGTGCATTGCAGAGCCGTCGATTCGCAATCGAACAGTTGAAGGTGTACCAGCAATCAGCTCGAACCTCATAGCTCTTTAAGATCGTCGATGTCAATCAAGTTGCACCGTCGACGGTTCTCCGAATTTGGCTGTCTGACAGTTTCGCATTGGACCGCCGTTGACACTGACGTCTGCCAATCATCTAATCATTGCTAAAGTTGACCAGGGAAGTCGGGGACTGGTACTAGGTACTTCTACCGGCTGGTAGCCCAGACCTCGACGTCCGCTAAGCTTTGTTTTCTACCAGCCGGTAATAATGTCCCGGCTAAAAGTACTCGAAGAACCTCAGGTGACGCACTTGTGCCACGCGTCGCCCTTATGATTGTGCGGGCCGTAAAAAGTGACGTACACTCGGCCCTTCTCGAATCGGCCATGGCATCGTGATTCGTGAAGCAACTGAAAACATCTTCGATGTCCGACTCCAAGTCGTCGACGTCGATAGTGCAAGACTGCAATTGTTCTGACACCGTTCTGGGTTATAAAAATTAGTTTGCAAACAGGTGATCACAAAAGCCCGACTGCTACCAGATTTGAGCCCAGACTTTTCGGTTTTTAAAGTGGTGCCATTTTCGTACAAACACAGTAGTCTGACATCGACTCGATGCGATGGCATCACCATGAAGCCTGGAGTTTTCGCAGCTGAGAAACTTCGGCCGCTCAAACATTTCAACAATGTCCGCCACATGATTGGCCCAGAGTTCACCAGAGTTGACTCTAATCTCTAGAGTCCCGAGTCTACTTGAAGCTACGGAAAAGCTGTGGACATCTGTAGCTGCAGTGGTGCTGCTAACAGTGCTATCTCTGCAGCGGCAACCTCTGATCGTGACATCGGAATTCTTGCTCCTCGGATTCATCTCCTCAGCTCTAGAACTTAGAAGTAGAACTTAGACGCCAAGACTCGTGATGCTGCTTTGTTGCATTGTCTAGTGGAAGGGCGTCTCTGATGCCCTTTAGACTTCTACCGGGACACTAGTGCGGGAAGGCACTGACTAGAGGGCAGCCTGTCAACGCGCTCTTCTCCTTGGGTGTCATTGTGTGGTAGCTGCAGCGCAGGTTGTAGCTGGCCCTTAATGCGGCCCAGAGAAAGATCATAGTCGAAAGTCTCCTCGTTTCAAAGGTCATCTCAACTCGCACTCAAGTGTGGAGTAGCTGGTGAGTCACATTGTGTATGCGGCTGACCGACAAGCTCAGAACACAGTGCACACTTATTGGTCTTTTAGAACTCCAGTGCTTGCTTGTAAAGCGCACTTCCTGATGTCTGTACAGTCCTCGCGTATCTTCTTGTGTGGTCTTTCTGCTTCAATGAATGTATTTTGCATTATCCTTCTGCCACATTGATGCCTCCGATGTTAAGCTGTCCTCCTGCACAGGCAGCACAAAAGCCAGAGTGGTAGGAATCCGTGCTGATCTTTCACTCGCGCTGATCCCTTTCAGAGTCGCTTGAAAAGTGGGTGTCCTTTGTTTTGAAATCAGTATTGAAACTTTGTTATTGTTTGCTGAAGAAAGTGGGTTGTAAGTTGCAAGTCTGACCAACAAAGGAAAGAAGAGGTCCAACTTCATGACATATATCCTAGAGATCTGTCGGCTTTGTTGTTCCTAGCTGTTTTAATTTGCGTCTATAGGTCTGATGAACTGATGAACCTGATGAACCTATACAGGCTCATCAGTCTCTAGCAATCTTTGTGCTCTACAACCGTTTCACCATCCCCACCATTCATTGCTGCCTCTCTGCTCCACAGAGCACTATACCCCCACCACGTGTTGCGGCCTCAGCTTGAGTCAGCTTCTTCAATCACCTCTGAGAGCGAATGGCCGACAACAAGCCGGAAGGGGCTTCGGCCCCTACCACAAAGCCCAAGAGCCACATCGGGGGACTTGCAGCTCATGGAGGGGTTCCGAACGTCACCCCTTTTGAGCAATCTGCAAGCAAGCTCTCCCAAGGTGGGCTATGATCAACGCACTTGCGCCTTCAGCGTGCACGGTGTTGATTGCAGAAGTCGAGGCTTCTGTCTGGACAAGTTCTTGAGGAGCAGTTCACAGAAACATTTCCCCCGGTTCAATAGACTTGTTGGTCTATTAAACTATGTGTCAAGAAGAATGTTGAAAAAGGGGGACGAGTAGAAATGATGAAGAGGCTTCTGCTGTCGGATGAATCAACGAAAGCTTGCTTACAAAAAACCTAGCATCTGTTGCTCGGACTCTTGAGAGTTGAGTCCGTTGGCTGCCAGGCAAGTTTTTGTCCTGCATACAGCTTACAGGAAACTAGAACGGGGGATTTATGCACTTGAAGCTTGCGCAGGACTGATTTGTTGCTCCCACCCCTTTGCAGACAAGTCTGGCGCCGACCATGTCTGGGCCCAGCTGGAGTCACAGCCGACCAACATCCGGTTAAGAACGTCCGTCCTCGAGCACTATGACGAGGCCTCGGAGGCGCTCACTGTGGACGAGACGACGGGTAAGTACCTCGTGCCGTCTTCTGGTCAGTCATGGGTTCTTTCTTCTCACATGCTGAGGTGGCCTTGTTTCACTTCCGGCGGGGGTGCTGATGTTTGCTCTATTATCTGAGGGAGATGATGGTCCATGTTCAGAGTTTCTAAACCCATCTCAAGAAAGCTTTGGTTTTTGAAATGAGTCCCAAGGCAAACGCACATTAAGCCTGTGCTTATGCGGTCTCCGTAGTAGAGACAGGGCACAATCTGAGAGCTGTCCAGGTGTTCTTTCAATGGACAAAAATGTTGCGTTGGTAGTTTGCTTGAGCCACCTTTTGACAGCACTGCTGAAGAGAATTCGGTTTCAACTTCATAGCGCATTCCATTGCCTTCAGTCCTAGGTCAGTTCTTACGTCGATTGATTCCCTGCCCCGACAGGCCGCTTTATTAAATGGTTTCTATTCGCGACTTGGCCAGTAACTGTCTTTAAACAGGAGCCGCACCTTCTTAACAGGTTCACTCCTGGTTAAACCTCTCAAAACCAAGCCTCAGCAACCTTCGTAACTGCACCCCCCAGGCCGCTCGATAACCGTGAATATCCAGGACAGGCCAACAACCTGGTTCTGAATGGCTTTTTAACCAGGTTTCCACTTGGTCAGACCATTTAGATTCGAGCCTAGGTAGCCCTTGTGTCCGCCCGCTAGGCCGCCGAAAAATCCGGATGTCCAGGCCGACAATAACCCGGTTCTAGAACAGCTGCTTAACCAGGTTTCTTTCTGGTCAGAACCTTAACAACAACGCCTAACCAGCCTCTTAGGATTCGCCCATCCAGGCGGTGATCATCGAGGACATTGCCGACAACCTGGTTCTAAATAGGACCCGCTTCTTAACTAAATTTTCCAGCGTTCAAAACATTCTAGATCCGAGCCTAAGGAACGTTCGCATCCTTTCCCTCCCAGGCCGCTTCAAGTTTGGAACATTCAGGACATTGCTGATGACCAATAACTTGGGTCTAAACAGCTTCTTAACCAGGTTTCCCTCGGTCAGAACCTTAAGGACGAAACCTAACCAACCATTGCTATTCTGCTCCCCAGGCCGCTTCAAGACGGTGGACATCCAAGACATCGCCAACAACCAGGAGTTGCGCCTCAAGGCCGTCGAGCGCGCCGGCTACATGTGGCTGCAGAATCTCAGGGACCGGTTTGACAGGTATGCGCACCAAGTCTATCCTTGACAATCCATTTTTTCTTGGTCAACTTAGCATGGCGCCATGCGACTGCTCAGTCAGACCCTTGACTCGATTTACAGCGAGACCCTTGCAGTAGACTGTGCTTGAATAAGGCCATCAGATTTCTATGTCGAATCCTCCATACTTTCCAGAACGTGTCTTGCAGCAGTACTCTTCTTAGCAAAGAGCTAATACAACACAAAGTCTCAGCAGAGAGAGTTAACCCCAAACGACCCCAAGTCAAAAGTCGGGACTCATGCTTTTGGTGGTGTGAATTTTGATGCAGGGTTGGCATCCCCCAGCCCTCGGTGGAAGTCCGCTTCCAGAATCTGACGGTGGACGCCAAAGTGCTCATGGGCGCTAACAATCTGCCCACACTGCCCAACTCCGTCATCAGCTTTTTTGACGTGAGCAACTCGTCGTATTGGTCTCGCTGTTGCTTCTTCTGATGGGCGTCGCCCTTCTAGCAGGCTGTTGCTTGATTAAATATAAGAGAGTTTTGGAGTGCCGCTCGTTGAAGCTGGTCGTGTCGTCGCTTGCAAGTGTGTCACGAGCGTTTGAGTCAAGCTTATTCTTACATTCTAATCCACCATTCTCAGCCAGAACTTTGTATATGCTTGAGAAGTCCTGTCATGTCTTGTCTCTACCCATCATGTCCTCTTCTGAGGGTTTTTCGGATTCCAGAGTCCGTCCTATGTCAGGCCTCTGCTCGAAGTGGGCCGCTTAACATGAGCTGTTGCATAGAACCAACAAGAGCCTTTTCTACCTAGTGTTCAGATCAAATGTTCACTGCCCAGAGCAGCTTTCTCTCCATCAGCTCTCATGTACTTTTCTTCAATACCCTCTTTGTAACTGTGGCGCAAAACTGGCTTGCTTTCCGAGCTCGGAGTATCATCTCGCGAGGATCAATATCGAGCACAAACCCTCCAAACGCCGTCTCGTCAAGCAGCCGTTGCAAGTTACTTACTGGTCTCCTGATATCCTCAGGGCGTCCTGGGCATGTGTGGCGCAAACCTGACGAAGAAGGAGCCCTTCCCCGTGCTCAAGAACGTGAGCGGGGTCGTCAAGCCAGGCCGTATGACGCTCCTCCTGGGCCCCCCAGGCTGCGGCAAGACCACACTGCTGCTGGCGCTTTCGGGCCGCCTCGCGGGGTGAGAATTTTCTGCCCTCGCTTTTCAAATGAAGGAAGTGTGCGAGAGAGAATCAAGTAAGATCCAGGCTGCAGTTGGAAAGAGCTCCACTGCTGTTGGTGCTCTGTAAGAGCATCATGGGATGAGCTGGAGCTCTTTACCTTCGCTCAAGAGGTTTGAAAGGGCCCGAAAGTGGTCATAAAGATTATCTTTCTGGGGCTAACTGAAAAGGGTAAAAAGTGGAAGTTCTGCTTCATAGCGCTGCTGACGACGCCTGGTCGGTGCTCTCATTGGCGAAAGCTACGTAGTCTGCAATCTGCTGTTGCCCCGTTGGGGAGCCGCTCATATGAAAAGGGTCTAGAACATCATGCTGAGCACTCTGTTAAGAAACCTGTCGAGAACGGAGAACTTCAGATGTTGCCGATGCTTTTGGGATGGAAAAATTCCAGGTCTCCGTGTTGATAGTAAGGTTCCAATTTCTGCAGCGGCGTGACATCGACCGGATCTGTGACGTACAACGGGCACACGTTCGACGAGTTTGTGGCGCGGCGCACCGCGAGCTACGTCGCCCAGACGGACACGCACATTGGAGAGCTGACCGTTCGTGAGACGTTCGACTTTTCGGCGCGCATCCAGGGCGCAGGGGCCAGAGAAAGTGAGTAACGAATTCCAGCATGCTTCGTATTCATTTCCAAAAGTAGGGGATGCCTTAATTGTTGGCACGAAGTGACAGGTCCTGAACCTCGGCTGATAACATAGTCGTAAGGGAGCGACTGACTTGGTATAAACCTGAAGAATTGGAATCTGTTTCAGATGTCACAATTCTTGTGCACGTCTACGGGATTTCCAGCCGCTTTGACAGCCCTGAGAATCACCTCAGGTTCTGTCCAGCCTGAGACCTGTACAGTCATCCCAATATAACAACCGAGGATGCCGTCACCCCCAACAGAGATGCTGCGTGCGAATCAAAAGTTCGTCTTCTGTCGGTGCATCCGCCGCCTTTCCAAAGGCGCTCGACAGCACAGAGGACCACTATGATGGACCATTCGCTCTGGTTTCCGAACCTCAGAAACTCGGAAGGTCTGCTTCTGACTTTCTGCCGTTTTCATAGAGATGCTGTGCGACCTGCTGCGACGCGAGAAGGAGTAAAAGGCGCTTCATCAAGGGAGGACTTGCCGTCAAGCTTACGAACCTCACAACCCGGAAGTTCCGAAACCCTGACGTCTTGATCTCATCTTCTGCAGAGATGCTGCGCGACTTGCTGCGGCGCGAGAAGGAGCAGAAGGTTCTTCCCGACCCCGCGATCGACGCGTTCGTCAAGGCGAGCGCGCTGGAAGGCACCAAGCACCACATCATGACGGACTACATCCTCAAGATGCTGGGCCTCGATGTGTGCGCGGATACAATCGTGGGGAACGAGATGCTGCGCGGTATTTCGGGCGGGCAGAAGAAGCGCGTCACCACAGGTGAGCTTGTGGGCCCTGCTGGTTGGACTCGGTGTCTCGGGCAGCGCTTGAAAAGATATGCTAGCGCTTTGGCGGGGACGGTCAAGAGGACGATTGTCGAACTTGGCCTGGAATAAACGAATGGCGCTTTGCGAGGAGTTGCGGGGATCATCAAGCCGAAAGTTGTTGCTTCAGCTTTGACGGGACGCGTGCTCGAGCCAGACAGAGAAGAGGAGCCCTGTGGGGCATTGTTGCTGGCTGCTGTCTTTAATAATCGCTCTGTTGAGACTTATTTCGCTTCGCCCTTTCTCCGTGTTCTTGTCTCGAGACCTGGCATCGGTTATGAATGTCCAAGTACGTACCTTACGTATGAAAGGCTTAATTTCGCTCCTAATCTCGCTCCGGACCAGGCGAGATACTGATGGCCCCATGTACGTGCGTTTCAGCCACGAGGTCTGGACGGAGCTGCTGGACACTTGAGCGAACTTAGTCTCTTCTTAGCCCCGGACTCACCCTTCAGCCAACCCGTAACCACCTTTTAACCTCTATATAAACCCGCTTACTTGCAGGCGAGATGCTGGTGGGCCCGATGAACGTGCACTTCATGGAAGAGGCATCGACGGGGCTGGACAGGTTTCGCGCTATTAGGCTCTTCTTAACCTGGGACTCACTCCTCACTCAATCCGTAACCACCTTTTAACCTCTATATAAACCCGCTTACTTGCAGGCGAGATGCTGGTTGGCCCGATGAACGTGCACTTTATGGACGAAATCTCGACGGGGCTGGACAGCAGCACGACCTTTGAGATCGTGCAGAGCCTGCAGCGCTACTGCCACATCCTGGAGACCACCGTCTGCATGGCGCTCCTGCAGCCCGCGCCCGAGGTCTTCGAGCTCTTCGATGACGTGAGCAGCTTTCGGTTTCTTCGAGCTCTTCGCTGGCGTGAGCCGCTTTCGGTTTTTTCGGTCCCGTGAATCGTAGGGATTTCATGAGTATGAGATCAGGAGTATGAGAGGATTATTGGGAGCCGAAGAAGTATGTTGTGGAAAGAAGGAACTGGAACCGAGAATAACATTTGCATGCCGCTCCGAGGTCTTTAAAGTTTTTGACGACGTGAGCGGATCGTAAAAAATCTCCAGAGAACTGGGTTGCTATGAAGCTTTAAAGGTTAGGGGTTTCCAGGAGTCACAAACAACAAGAGGGGTGTCTGGATGAAAGGACCTTGTGTTGGACCGTTGAGACGTTGCCAGAAGCGACTGAGCTTCATCCGACGCTTGAGTGCGCCGAAAGTCTGGTACACGTTTCTTCGCTCACATCCTCTTCAAACCCAAGTTTTCCCAGGAGGTCTGTCGGGCAATCTATTTGCGATACCTCAAAGAACAAGGCATAGAGTCTCGACATAGACGCGCTTGTTACTGCCTTCACACGTCGGCGAGCTGCGCTTGAGATGACAAGAATTTGGTTGCGTGCGCAGATCTGCCTGCTGTCCGAGGGCCACGTGGTCTACTTTGGCCCCCGCGAGCGCGTCCTCGAGTTCTTCGAGCTGTGCGGGTTCAAGATCCCCGGGAGGAAGGGCGTCGCTGACTTCCTGCAGGAGGTCACCTCCAAGAAGGACCAGCAGGTGAGTCAGCATCCTAAAACCCCAGGACCCTCAAACCCTGCTAACCCAAAAACTCGGAACTCGATTTTTGCTTACCTGGAAAACTCGAACCCTGAGGATCCGCAGTTGTGTGAAGAGTGTGCAGGAGGTTTTAGGGTGTTTTTTAGGGTTTTAGGATTTTAGGGTCACTTCCAAGAAGGACCAGGCGGTGAGTCAGCACCCTTAAACCCCAGAATCCTCAAACTCTGCCAACCCAGTATCTGAGAACCCGAGAAATTTGGTTACCTGAAAATCTTGAACACGAAGAAAAGCAAACGGATTCGCAAGTGTGTGACGAGAGTGCCGAAGGTAGGCAACGGTTCTTGGTACTGTCGTTGCAAGGATCCACTTTCCTTTTCAGGACAATTCAGGACTCTACAAGGTAGCTTCGACAGGCCTTCCCATTATTATGATGTCAAGTGTTGGGGTCCGTTACATCTTTGTCTCCTTCCTCCACCGCAGCACTGGTGCCACAAAGCCGTGCCTCTTTTGTAAAGTGACTTCCAGTCTGGTCCTAACAATAAGTTCCTCGCTTCCGATCCTGCTGCAACCTCTCAGAGGTCTCGGTGTGTCTTTCGCCATTTTAGTTCTCCAAGTTTTGAGCTAAGGTACGGATACCTCTGAGCCGTCGGATGCCATTCCATGGTCGGTTGTCCGGTCCAAATCCGGATACATGCTCCAAGCGTTTGAAAACCTGATTTTCGCGGAGACACCAACAAAACGCCGGCCTTCCCCCCCTTCTGCAGCAATACTGGTACCGCAAGGAGCCGCACCGCTTCGTGACGGTCCAGGACTTCGTCGACAAGTTCGCCCAGTTCGAGGTTGGCCAGCTGACGTCAGCGCACCTCGCGACGCCGTTCGAAAAGGAGAAGAGCAACCCGCTGGCGCTCGTGAAGGAGCGATACGCGCTCAAGCCCATGGAGATGTACAAGGCGATGTGGGACCGCGAGATCATCCTCGCGCGCCGCAACTCCTTCCTCTGGATCTTCCGCGGAACAATGGTGAGAATCTGATTGGTCTGTGCGACCTAGGCGGGGATTCGTATAAGGTGTTTCGTTTTCCTATTTGCAGGAAACCCCTATTTCGGATCTGACCTTCGGGTTTTCTGAAGCTCCAATGAAGACGTCTCGGCCTGACTACAGCTCTTGACGACGCATCGCTCAGTTCAAAGTCGGAGACTGTGGGACACAAACTGCATATCAATGTCAGCTAGGCTACGGATGCTTTCCAATGTAGCAGTCTGCACGCTCAAAGTTAGGCACAACGTTCCTCTCTTCGATTCCGAGCCTCGAAACTTTCCAGCTGTGGTTCGCATGAGCGTCGGGATTGTTTCACTCTATTTCAATCTTAATCTTTCGAATAAAAAGCTGAGCGTCAACATCTGACCCTCTCTGTAGCTCTGTAATCTGATGCAAATCTGCTGACTGCAGTGCGGCATCGTGGCGTTCATTACCGCGTTCCTGTTTCTCCGCACGACGCTGGACCCGAACAACATCGGGGACGGCCAGCTGTATCTGGGCGTTATCTTCTTCAGTCTCCTCTTCATGGTCTTCTCCGGACTGTCCAACATCGCGCTCACGGTAAGCTAACGCTTCTGCTTCTGCGCTATGTTAAAACAAACTGCTCTATCCCTCTCGAATCGCACCTGTTCTTGACCAGGTTATGCGGTCCTCTTCATGGTCTTCTGGACTGTTCAACATCGCGCTCACGGTGAGAAGCTTCGTCAGCTTTTGCACTGAAACTCAGGCAGAAGGCTCTCTCTTCTTTGATTGTGAACGGGTCTTGAAATTCTGCGCGGTCAACTCTCCTCTTCTTCGGTCCTTTTCTGGACTGTCCTAGATCACGGTGAGCCAATGCATCGTTCCTTTGCCTGTTGCGTCTGAGATGGTCTTTTTTCGATTCTGAAACGAATTCGGGAAAAAAGAACGGGTACCGATGCTTCCGACACCTCTCAAGTTGGGCTCTTGTTATGCGAAGATCTGGGCATCCTATTGACGGTCCAAAAAGCAGTATCTAACCCGGAGAGTTCTCTTCGACTAGGCAACCCACGAGTCCCTCCCTCGTCCACTAAAGCGGGTAAGCCCAAAACAGAAAATAACGTCTCTCAACAAACAAACTCCAACACGCGTGCCCCTCCGCTTTCAGGTGCAACGCATGCCCGTCTTTACCAAACAGCGCGACAACCTCGTCGCAAAAGCCCCTTCTAATCTTCAATTGAACCACTGCTTGAACGGGTTGCGTGCATTGGGCATCCCTATACCCCAAGCCTTGAAAACCTCAACCTCCCAGACCAAACCCTTCTATTTCAATCCTCAAAATTGCTTCCTGTCCTTCAGGTGCAACGGCTGCCGGTCTTCACCAAGCAGCGCGACAACCTCTTCTTTCCTGGATGGGCCTTCGCGCTCCCGACTACGCTCCTCGAGCTCCCCTACGCGGTCATCGAGTCCGTTGTCTGGTCCGTCATCGTGTACTACATCGTCGGACTCGCGCCGGAGCCCGCGCACTTCTTCGTCTTCATTCTCATCCTCATCTGCCTGCAAAACCTGTGCACCGCGCTGTTCCGGCTGGTGGGCGCGCTCGGGCGATCGATGGTGACCGCCAACACGGGCGGAACCGGAATGTTTGCGATCCTGCTCGTCTGCGGAGGCTTCGTGCTCGCCAAACGTGAGTTCATAGTTTGGATCATAACCCGGGTTCTTGACCCGGTTAATAACCAAGGTGACGACCTGAATTGATAAGCCGAGCAGTTGTCTTCTTCTGGATGAATGTCCTCCTTCACGTCGATCAAATCCTGCCGTGTTTGCTTGCTCTCTCAAGCCACCTGGGCAAATTCCTTTCTCCACAAGCTTTGTGCTAGTCGAGCGTGAACTGCTCGACTGGGCCAATCCGAGAAGGCTCTCCTAGAGCTTCGTCTGAAGCGCTTGCGGACCTTTCGTTTCTTTAGGTGCTCCCACTCTGCAAAAGTATTCGCAAAAAAGAGGCTTAGCAGGGACGCCCACGTGCATGCAAACTCGTCGAGCTCGAAGTAGCTTCATCCAGCTTAAGTAACGCTAGTTACCTTCCCACGTTGTGCGGACCAAAAAGTCTCTCTGATCCGCCTCCTTGCACTTTTTCCCTTTGCAGAGGACATTAAGCCTTGGTGGGTGTGGGCCTACTGGATCAGGTGGGTCTTCAAACACTTCTCTCGACTTTGTATGGCAGGTTGCTCGACAATCGTATAGCTAGCAACGTCCTTAGCAGACCATCATTCCAGCATTCGACATTGTGCACGGCTCTCGGCTGAGAAAAGCGAGAATGCTTCAATAAAGGGTGCCAAGCTGACGTCATTTTCTGCCGCCTGGCAGCCCTGTCCAGTTGCGCTGGTGGCTAACGAGTGCAAGGCACATCCGCAGGGCCTTTCAGTCTTTGTATGAGATCCTGAACTTCAACAAGATGCTCCACCTCTCGCCATCTTGCATCCAGCCGGCTGACGTGTGCCAGAACACGCTTTGCAGCCAACGAGCTCAAGGCACACCACTGAAACCCTTTGGAAATTCATTCTTCAAAATTTAATTCACGACACTGAATCTTTCTATCTCAGAATCCATCAGTTCTGTGTGAAAGCCTTGAAACCTTCTGGACAGGACTCCCCTCCGTCATCTTTAACCCGCTGGCCTACGCCCAAATGTGCTCGCGGCCAACGGGTTGAAGACACAGGCGCGAGGTGACTGTTGTATTCAAGGTTCAAATCCACATACTTTTGTCTGGAAGCGTTAAAAAAAAAAAAATTAAAGTGCTTTACTTCCCGTCTCTCCAGACGTCCGCGTTGGCAGCCAACGAGTTTCAAGACACAACCGCAGCTCGTTCCACTCTTCAATATCACAGCTTTTGACTCGTGTCAAAACATGTGTGCAAGGGCGTCCGGACCTCCGAAAATCGGCCCTCGTTGGGGGGGGGCTGGTGGCCGGTTGGGGCAACATCTAGGGGCCAATTTACCCCTAGGTAAAATGGTGCATCGAGAGGAGAGAGGGGGGCTGGTGGCCGGTTTTATTTTGGGAGTTCCGGACGCCCTTGCACACATGTTTTGACACGATGCCAAAATTTGAGATTCTAAACGACACGTCACTTTCTGTCATCTCCAGCCCGCTGACGTACGCCCAGAACGCGCTGGCGGCCAACGAGGTCAAGTTCCAACCGCAGTTCGTTCCCCTCTCAAAAGTCAAATCTTTCGTAAGAGAAAATCTTAGAATTTCTGAAGAACCCACGTCACCTTTTTGTCATCTCCAGCCCGCTGACGTACGCCCAGAACGCGCTGGCGGCCAACGAGTTCAAGGCGCACCGCTGGAACCTGCCCAACGACTCCAACAGCACCACTGGCGGCGTGACACTTGGCGACGCCGTGCTCAAGCAACGTGGCCTGCACACCAACGTGAACTGGATCTGGATCGGGGCCGGCGTGCTGGTCGCCTACTACTTCATCCTCAACACGCTGCTCGTCCTAGTCTTCAATCGGGTCCCAGGTACACTCCACTTTTTGGGAAAGTTGAGCTCATGTCAAACCTAGTCAGAACGCCAAGAAAGTCTTTGGTGGTAAGATGGGTCGAGGCGGGTATCTGTTTGGACTGATTTGAGTCCGGCGTTTTGTGGCATACTAATTTCTTCTTAGCAGCTTCCTGCTTCTTGGTCTTTGACCACGTCCCGAGAAAGGCTGTTCCCTGGAAAGTCTAGCTCAATGACACATAAAGCTAGCAAATAAAGCATTTGCGGACATGGGAGGAGGAAGTAAAATGGGGTCGGAACGGCACTACGAAGCTGGTTGGATGTTAAGTTTCTTCATGGGTTCTCAACGGGGTTCGCGGCCTCGGGACCAGATTCCCACACTGCAAATTTTCAGACCGTCATGTTTCATGCTTGCCAGATACGTCTAGCTCTAAACCCCATTCTCATACGGGCTTTCATAAAGACAAGACCCTCGTCCGCAGGTTTCCACATGACCGCTGGCGCTCTCCCCGAGGAGCAGGTCATCGAGCGCCGCAAGGGCAGCCGCCACGACAAGGTGCACACGCTGGCCTCCATCGCCGAGGACGGCAGCGAGACTGGGAAGAGCGCCACGAGCAACGGCGCCGTCGCAATCGAGATGGGGTCTGCCGCAATGGCCCCGCCCTCAGGAGAAGGTGAGCAAGATGAGGTTTCACGCCTTTAGACTTCAGCAGTTTCTTAGGAATTTGGAGAGATTTTTCTTTTGTTCCTTCTAATTTCTGAACTTCGCAACTCTGTAGTTGTTCTGATTGTTGTTGGCATTGGCGGCAAGAGCAACGCGCCAGCTCGATTGAGAAGGGGTCTGCCACGATGGCCTCGCCGTCTGGCGAAGGTGGGCAGGTTAGAATTTGATCATGTTTGACATTCTTTGCTCTTATTCAGTTAGGTTTAGAGCTTTAGAAACGTCGAAACCTTTGGACTTGAGGCGCCAGAAGCGCCAAGAGCAATAGCGCCGTCGCGGTCAAGAAAAGCTCTGCCGCTACGGCTCCGTCGTCAGGAGAAGGTGAGCATAATGAATCTGAAACTTGAAAAGCTTACAACCAATTGTTGCTCCATTCCGCGCACACAACGCCGTGGCGATCGACGTCGCCCCCAGCCCCCGCCCGCTTCAGCAACAGCGCAGCAGAGCAGAGTACACCGTAAATTTCCATGCGCAGTCTCACTGATAAACCCCGGGAATTCTGACCCTGCCAGCGACCCTGCCAGCAAGCTACTGATAGTTTGTTCGTTCTCCAGTTCGCCCGCATGACGCTGTTGCGATCGACGTCGCCCCGAGCGCCCGCCCGCTCCAGCAGAACCGCAGCAGAGCGGAGTACACCGTCAGTTTCAAGCGCAGTTTGAGCTCCGCTCAGCGGTCCCTGGGCACCGCGCAGCGCTCCCTGGGGCAGCCTCACCACTCCGGGCTGGACTACCGCAATAGCTTCCTCTCCGCAGACGGCGAGCGGAAGAAGGGAATGGTCCTGCCGTTCGATCCGTTGGTGAGTGCTTCCGCCGGAAGGCCTCGGAATTCGGCCGTGTTGATGGCTCGCCAGTTTTGTGCATTTTGGGCCAGTCGGAGAGTGTGCCAGCGGAGAGAGTTGATGAGTGTCTCCAGCAAGAGGGAGATGGGCTGGTCATCCTGTCCCATTAGCGAGTGCTTCGAAGGACCGAGTAGTTTTTGTGGGGGATGAAGGAGCAGTGAATCAACCTCCGGTTCGATTGAGAAGGTCCTCAAAGATTAGAATAATGGTTGTGTTCCGTAGCGTGCCTCTGCAAAGGGGGCAAGAAATGAGACTGCCAGTCATTCCGTTGGTGGGTGCTTCGGACGCTTGGGTAACAACAAGACGACGGCTTGAATTTGTTTGTGAGCAGTCGGCTATTTCAGTCGCCAACAACTTCTTTTCCGCAGGTGCTAACATTTCCTCACGTCCTCCACAAGCGATCCGTCATCATCAGCATCTAACGTCAGCTTTTGCGTTTCCTCGCAGGTGATGACGTTCCACGACGTCAGCTACAGCGTGGACATGCCCGCGGACATGCGCGCCCACTCGGGCGCGGAGAAGGGCGCCAAGTTGCAGCTGCTGCACCACGTGAGCGGGGCGTTCCGCCCGGGGGTGCTGACGGCGCTCATGGGCGTCAGCGGAGCCGGAAAGACGACGCTCATGGACGTGCTGGCCGGCCGTAAGACGGGTGAGCGGGCGATTTAAGAACTCGCTTTTTCCACAACCAGTCCGATCTTATCGCAGAGGCAGACACCTAGGACCGACTTGGTCGGGGAGAATCAGCCTATGTCAAGTCCCGTCCGGCGACTTGTTATGTGACTATCTTAGATCAGATCTCGGCGGCGTCAGAAACATCGTGATCTCCCCGTCTTACAGCACGGTCAAGGAATTAGCGCCGTGAATTGAGTTCACTATTCTGACAGGTGGCTACATCGAGGGTGACGTCCGCATCTCCGGACACCCCAAGGTGCACGAGACGTTCGCACGAGTGTCCGGCTACGTGGAACAGTTCGACATCCACTCTCCCCAGGCGACCGTCCGCGAAGCGCTCATCTACTCTGCGTGGCTGCGCCTGCCGGAGGAGGTCGACAAAGGGACGCGTGAGGTGAGGGGGAAGTCTAGAGTTTTTGCGGGTGTGGTTAGAGTAGGTGGGATGGAGGATGCCGAAAGCTGGCGCTCTTCTGAGGCTGATGTCGCAAAAAATCTGCGAAGTGACGGTAAATACCGTTTTGGGATGGTTTCCGCTCTGAACTGCACAGATGTGAAGATGTTCACGAACGAAAACTGCGTTTACTGATTGACTACTCGTCTGCTTCGGAACGTGTTTGACTCTCGAGCACTTGAGAGATCATGATTCCGTCGAATGACCTTTCGAATCTGCGAGACGGTCTTTGTGAAATCGGTCGAGCTAACCTGATTTTCAAACTTTGTTTGCAGCTGTTTGTGGACGAGGTTATGGAGCTGGTCGAGCTAACCACGCTGCGCGACGCGCTGGTCGGGCTGCCAGGGATTACCGGGCTTTCGGTCGAGCAGCGCAAGCGGCTCACGATTGCGGTCGAGCTTGTGGCCAATCCCTCCATCATCTTCATGGATGAGCCGACGTCGGGTAAGGAACAAGGGATCAGACATCTGGTGTGTCAATCAGCTTTCAAAGAATCTTAAGCACGGCCGCGCAAGCGCTTACCAGTGCGTTCCGTTAAGTCAAGCAGTTGTTCTCGTTGGATTAGCGGTCCGCCGTTCCATCAAGTAAGCAGTTCGTCCGCCGAATGGGTAGCGAGCCCACAATCGAAAAAGATCCATGAAGCATTACTCCAGCGAGCTCCTGCATTGTTTCTCAGACTCCCTCCTGATTCTCATACCTGAGTTCTCAGTTGGATCCTTCTCATACCTGAGTTCTCAGTTGGATCTTACAGTCTCAAGAGTATCTTTCGTCAGGCCTCGACGCGCGTGCAGCTGCCAACGTGATGCACGCAGTGTGCAACACGGTCAACAGGAGGCGAACCATGATCTGCAGAATTGCCGTCCAAAAGCTTAGAATCCAACCAAGTCTTGGATCTCTGACCCTGCCTTTCTTCAGATTTGCATGCGTGCGCCGCTGCCGTCGTGATGTGCGCCACGCGCAACATGGTCAACACAGCACGAACAGGTTGGGCACAGATTCCGGTCCAAAACCCCGCATCCTTACAAAGCCTTGACTCGAGAATCCTAAAGCCTTCATTTCGTCTCCTTTCAGGCCTGGACGCCCGCGCGGCGGCCATCGTGATGCGCGCCGTGCGCAACACGGTCAACACGGGGCGCACCGTCGTGTGCACCATCCACCAGCCCAGTATTGACATCTTCGAGTCCTTCGACGAGCTTCTCCTTCTCAAGCGGGGGGGCCACGTGACCTACTTCGGGCCTCTCGGCCGCGACTCCGCGCTCCTCGTCGACTATTTCCGCAAGATTGAGGGGGTTCCCCCGATCAAGGAGGGCTACAATCCGTCCACGTGGATGCTGGAGGTCAGCACGCCGGCCATGGAGGAGAAGGTCGGCGACTTTGCGGAGCACTTCAGGAAATCGGCGCTGTTCCAGTGAGTGAACCCCTCATGGGCTGCCACGTGGCAACTTTCTGCTTTCCGTTTTCTATTTGGACTTGAAAACATCAGCGAAGGTCGGCGACTTCGTGGAGCAAGTCGGGAAGTTGGCGCTATATTCCAGTGAGTGGAGCACTCATGTGCTGCCACGTGGCAACTTCCTGCTTTCTGAGACACGTCGAGAATTGAGCACAGTCAGCGATCGACGAGAAGGTCAGCGACTCGCAGGCACTTTCAGGCTGTTCCGTGCATCGCCACGTGGCAAGTTCAGCTGTTTACTTCTATAGCGTACCACTCGCGTTCGGTTCTGGAACTGCATAGCTGTAAACCCTGAACCTGAACCCTGAACCTACTCCCTGAACTCTTCGTTGCAGGCAAGCCGAGGAGTTGATTGCCGAGGAGGCAAAGCCCGCGGAGGGCAGCGCTCCGCTCGCGTTCGACCGCGTGTACGCGCGCAGCTGGGCCGTCCAGTTCCAAGCGCTCCTGTGGAAGTTTTCCAAGACGTACTGGCGCTTCCCGGAGTACAACGCGATCCGTTACCTGCTGACGCTCATGCTGAGCCTGCTGATCGGGACCAACTTTTTGAACCTGGGGTCCAAGAGAAGAACCCAACAGGACGTGCTCAACGGTGAGGCCATCTGAGTCTCAAGTCTTGCTTCTCGCTTCACGATTGTCCTTTGCTTCTTCGACCATACGTCCTCTAAGAATCATCACATTGGGAGCCACACTACATCCAAGGCCATAGAAAAGACCCCCGAAGCCTCTAGGTACTGAAGCAGAAAGCCCCATATGTTCCCCGGAAGTTGTCCACGTTTCCTCGAAACTCGTCAAGAGGTGCTAGCTCAACAAACAGACCTTTCAGGTAGATGGTAAACCAGCAGTGCTTAGGCCTTTAATCTTCAATTGGCCACATTGTCAGCATTCTGAACTGCATCGGAGAGCGCCACTTTTGACGTTCTTGGGCGTCTGACCTTTGCAAATATGTTCCCTGCATCTTTCTCTCTGTCCATGCCATAGTTGCTTCTTTCGTAGCCCTACGTCGCACTCCTGTCTCTGCAAACAAAAGCGCAACTGATCATCTTGGTCAACCTCCTCGCCGAATATTGGGACCCCTCGTCGTAAATCATTCGACACCGCAACTCTTGTGCAGTCATGGGCGCTCTGTTCATCTCTGTTATCCAGCCTTGTCTGAAATACGCCCAAAACGTGCAGCTCGTGTTCAAAGAGGGTATTCGCACCGCCTTTCTTCTGCAGTCATGGGCGCTCTCCATCTCCTCATCCATTGGATGTGAATAATGCCCAAACCTTAGAGCCCGTGTTCGAAGAGAGGATTCACACCGCCTCCTTTCCGCAATGACGGGTGCCCTTTTCGACTGAATAACGCCCAAACCGTGCAGCCCGTGTTTGGAAAGGGTATTCACACCGCCTTTTTTCCGCAGTCATGGGCGCTCTGTTCATCTCAGTCATCCAGCTGGGTGTGAATAACGCCCAGAACGTGCAGCCCGTGATCGCCATCGAGCGCGCCGTCAGCTACAGAGAGCGGCCCGCCGGCATGTATGCGCCACTGCCGTATGCTCTTGCAGCGGTGAGGCCGCTTCCAAGGTTGCCCTTATTTTGAATCAAGTCAGGCAGATTGCCGTTCACGTCGGTTCAGACGCTGGACGAAGGGAAGCGCGGATGCAGCGCGCACAAAGTCACCAGTTCAGAGCCCTAGGTGGAAGACTCAAAACTATGGATGTTGATGAGATTGCGCTATGTCCCCAGGTGCGCTCGCGCTCACTAACAAGAAGTAACCATGAACGGAACAGCGAAAAGGGATGAGGACTCCTCTCGTCCTCAATAGGCTGACTGCGTGCGAGTTGAAACTCAACTGCTTTGCGATCAGGAATGGTTCTGGATTGTACCACTCAACTACGTTGATTCCAGTACTGACGCGAATCGTTTTTTTGGCCGCGCAGGGCGTCGTGGAGATTCCCTACTGGTAAGAACACAGAACCAACGTTCTCCTTCCTGGATTTTACCATCACGATGTGCAGCATTTGATGTTCGTATGACCATATTGATTGCATCGAAAGAAAGAGGACAACGCTAAACAACCTACTCGAACTCAAAGCTGGCTCGAGCATTGCTGTCGTGGAGCTGATTGCTGCTTAACGGATCTCGCTTCTCGATCAGAATCCACCATTTCCATCAAAACAACCTTAAACCCAATCCCGAAAAGTCCTAACCAGAACCGTAACCCCTTGAAATCACACCCTAAAGCTGTTAACCTCCTTCCGCGCAGCCTGGCCCAGACGGCGCTGTACACGCTGATCGTGTACAGCCTGATCAACTTCATCTGGACCGCCGCCAAGTTCTGGTGGTTCTTCCTCTTCATGTTCCAGACGCTCTTCCTCTTCACCTACTACGGCATCATGTCGATCGCGATCACGCCCAACGTGCAGATCGCGCAAGTCACGTCGATCCTCTTCTACTTCCTCTGGTGAGCAAGCAGGAAACACATCTTTCTTTGCCAACGTACGAAACTCCTGATCTTGTCTGATCCCTTCGCCTTCGTTGCTTTGTCGTTGTCCTGCCTCTTTCCATTTTGCGGGTGCCCCCTTTTTTTGTTGAATCCCTGAACTTTTCCGTTTCAGAATTATCTCTTCTGCACAATATTCTACGCTCGCTGCAATTTCTTTGATGAAGCGAGCTGTCCCGATTGCTTTTAGTGGCTGGCATAAGGCCATGTTCGATCCAAAGACGGAGCCTGCTTGCGGAGCGAGTTCTCAGAACCACTTCACGTGTGCCAAACCTGCACCACTGCGAAAGCAACTTGTTGGATCGTTGATCACCCAGTCGTCCAACCATTTGACCTGCACTTTCCTATGCAGGTGCCTCTTCTGCGGGTTCCTCATCCCTCAGCCCGTGAGTCCCGCTTTTCTTCGTTGTCCCGCTTCTCTTCTTTGTAGATAATAGTGAACTTAGTGAACTTGAATAGTGACTTCTTGCCATCAAGAGCCTCGGGGATGGCGGCGCTGCCACGTGGATACCGTGCGCTCTTTCCGACGTGTCTCTCAAAAGCACCGTTTGCCGTTGCGTTTCAAAACGTTTCACCTCCGTATATACTTCGTGAATGGAGACGGCAATGTCGCTCGATTTTCTCAACGGTGAAACATCTCTGCCCTCTGGAGGTCTGCTTCGGTGAAAACGAGGGTTGGTTGCTGAGGGGCTTGGCTTGCCGTGGTGCAACCGGACGCCCCAATGTCTCTTGTACTTGCATTACATGATTCTGATATGACTCTCGTGATCGACCAGAGCTTGCTGGGAACGTTCGCCCATCTTGAGACTGTCACTCTGGATTCCGCTCGACGAAAGGGAAATCGAAACGAAACGACATGAAATGAAACGAAACAGGAATGCTGACGTCAGAAAACGAAACACAACCGGATTGCTGACGTCATCTTCTGCCGCTTACCCGCAGGCCATGCCGGGCTGGGTCGTGTGGCTGTACTACATCAACCCGATGGCGTGGTCGCTGTACGGAGTCGTGGGCTCGCAGCTGGGTGACATCACCGACGAGACCATCAGCTACGCGGACGGCACGGTCGTCACAATCAAGGCATTCTGCGAGTAAGCGGACCGTCTGAGGCAAAAAACCGAGTGACTTCTTTCTGTTGCTTGCCTGGGAGCGAGATGTTCTATGAAGCTGGTCTTTGTTGGTGAGCCACTGCTGAGAACGCTTTGTCGGACGGTCAATTCATTTCGGGAGATCTGGACCGTCCCGATATGACTGTGCCGCCCAGGCCGAAAAGCAACTGAACCCCATACTTTCCATAGTAGCTTCGGGTTTAATAAGGTTTTGGTGTAAGCTTGGACCTTTTGGTGGCCTTCGTTGTCACCATAGCAACGGTTGGCGTAGCTGTCGTGAGGTAGTAGACGCCACTGAAGAGGAAGGACAACGGTAGAGTTTTGGCCGTATGGAAATGGCAAAGTCTCATAGTAGTTGGAACGAAGAGCGAATCATCTTTGCCTGTGCGGAGAGAGTCTTTTCGTTCATGGAAAGATTCTTGAAAGAGTCAGGTCACGTGCTTGAAAGTCTCGGCGATCTTGAACCCCCATTTCTGCCACGACTGGTCCGGTCATCATTCGGGATTTATCCATTTCCGGGTTAAGCTAACCGAGCGCCTTTCCTGTGTTTGCGCAGGGACTTTTTCGGTTTCAAGCACGAGCTGCTCGGCATGGTCGTGGGCATCATGTTCGGCATGACCGTCATCTTCTTCCTCGTGGCCACGTGGGCGCTGCGCTACCTCAACTTCCAAAACCGTTAAGGGTTCACGCACCGCTGGCGGGTACTGAAATTGGATAAACCGTTTTTAGATTCAATACCGCCTGGTTTTTACGTAGAAAGGGTCTGGACTATGACTGGGTTGCAAGTTCTCGCTATATGAGACCCGGCGTGTTGGATGTCTACATCAAGGCGTCGGTTGATTCTATTTTATAAGGGTCTGTTGTCGCAAGTATCGTTTAGTGGAGCGTTGAGAGCGCTAGCAATAGCTTTTGGAAGCGCGATACCGGCAATTTTTAGCCTAATTTGTATGCCAAGTTTTGGCTAACCACAGTAGAGTTGCGTGTTGGCACTTTGGCTTGCACGGTTGCATTCGTTGGCGTAGACAGATGGTGGACACTTTCGCTGTTACTGGTCGGGATAAAGTATTTCCGGATACGGTGTAGTTCGAAACCCTCTCCACATGTCGAACAAGCATTTGGAGGCTGATGTCGCCAATCATTGTGAACAGTGAGCATCAATCTTTGCAAGGAGTAGCACCTTAGCACTTGCTTCACGTGATAATTGCTACTTTTGCCCCAGAACCTCTCTGTAAATTCATCTGGAAACTTATCGAATGATTTCAGGGTTCAATGAGTCGGCGAAAACTAGTGCGCCGCTCCATTCAAACTCAGACTTCGACCTTCATCACGACTTTCTCGTTTGCCGTCACTGTCACATCAGTTTCAGCGTTTGGGCACGTGGCATGCATCTGTCGTAGCTCGTCAGGGGGACTGCATCAACGTGCTTAGCCGCGCAAAGCACAGGCCGGGAACCGTCGTACGAACCACTCAATCAACCCAACGCCCTAATCGCTGGCAGCTCGACAATTGCAAAGAACCACGGCCGCCGGCCATGCATCGTCGTTGTTGGAGATCAGAGTCAAACGGTGCAACGAGGCCGCAATAAGTTGCGACTTGTGACGTAATAACATTGACTTCGATCATCAGAAAAGAAGGTGTGTACTTATTCTCATCTTTCGCTGTCACACATTCCCAAGTATCTCTTGGCCGGAATATTCGGTCTACCGTATGCACTTGACGCGCATATGTACGCTGAAAGTTCCCATAGACTGCCCCCTCGTGTCGCCGGCATATCCAATTGTGAGTGTATCCAAAAAGCTAGTTTCAAGCTACATACGCCCTGAGGGATCCCAATTGGAGCGCCTGGGCAGTTTCGCCACCGGACAAACAGCGGTGAAAGCAGATCAGTGCACGGCATAGAAAGCGTCCGACCAAGGACTGCCATTTTGAACACCGCACGCAATGCATGGCCACGCAGAAGTATTCAGGTGGGACATCTGCAGTGACAGATGTAAGCTCTTTCGCATTGGAGCCTCCAAGATCTTCACAAGCTCGACGATCGGAGCTGATATCAATCTCGACGACCTTCCCCCAGTGCATGCAAGCACTGGGGGAAAGACAGAAAGTGCGGTTTGGGTGGAAGCTCGAGAGTATGCCCCGAAAAGGGCGAAGTCTTCTCCTGAAGCCGCCTGAGACCACATTCAATCTGCTTGAAGAGGGCAGCACTGCTCCTTAGGTTGCTTTGCGAACCCAGTGAGATCAAGCCTCTTTATACAGGTGAAAGCTAGCTTATAGGTCTCTTGGAGCAACAACCTTGGGCGGCCGCGCGCAGATTGCGCACGTTCGGATGAAGCTGTGAAGCTCAAGTTCGGAGTTTGCTTTGAACTCATTGCGCCCCCTGTCAAGGGAAGCACGGCGGACACACCTCAACATCAGCGCCTGGGCCTGATTGAACGCCGCGGCGGGGCAGTTCTTTTCAGACCGTCTGCAGACTTATCCGCAGATGCCTTTGATTGTGGTCAACGGAAGCTTATCAAGGAGAATGGCGGAGGAGAAGACACATGGCTCAGCATCAGAGAACGCCCTGGACGAGGCGGGCCATTACTTCGACTTCGCCAGATTCTACAGGTGAGCGCAATTGAAGAAAACTTTGAACGGTCAGGGAATGAAGTGTAGACTAAGATTACAGGGCAATGTGGTGTCCACAACAAAGGTCTTTTCTGCGCATTCCACACAATCAAGGCTATCTTGATGATAACGTGCTCGGCTTGGGTTTTGGGCTCTGCGAAGAAGAGGGTGGGTTGCTTAAGCGTCCAAGGCGATGTCTGTTGACAAGACATACAGAATGCATGAAGAGCAGGGCCGCTGCAAAAAGATGACCGTCGAGACGAGTGCCACCGTGTTCGTTCCTGCTGTCTTACGCCCGAAAACTGTTCCCTTTTACTTTAGGCTAGTTTTTCTAGTCCCCGATCTAGATCGTTGCGACAAAGCAAAGCTCCAGGGGTCGCTCGAGGTGTGCAAGCTTCTGATGCCCTGAAATACGAGCACAGAGCGAGACTTCATCGTCGCGTTTTCGTGCGGCGCAGGAGAATGGAGGTGTGCGATCGGACCATCTGCTTGGAGATCCTAGCCGACAGCGAGGAAGGTGGGCCCCTTCCAGTGCTACTTTTCCTTGGTTTCAAGCAAATGATGCTTCTCTTTTGATGGGTTCAATAAGGACGGCTCCCCATGCAAAGTCAAATTCTAGAAGTGCATCCTTCCCTATGAAAGGAACTGTTGAGCTCATAGAAGAGCCTGGTTCTGTGACAATCTTTGTCTTCTAAAGTGAAGGTGCTATGTTGAGAAGCGATATCCAACGCTGAATGCTGTCTGCACATCAAGGCCCAGTGGTTTCCGCATACGTATTGGCGGTCGGGTTCTTATACAATTGCACGTGAGACTTGGTTCTTCGATAGAGGTTTTGGATGTGGGGAATGAGTTGATCTTTCTCATCTTCCAGTTGATACCCCAATTTTGCTCGTGATCGAGCCCAGAGGCTCTCGCTTGAAGAGCCCAAGTATCTTCGGCACGGCACTGTAAGGAGAATAAGCCGTTGATATGCATCTTCGTGCTGAATCACGAGGCGCAGAGAAAGTTTCCGACAGCGGTATATACCCAGTCCCACATAACGCTTCAAAAGAAAACGTGAAGGAACACGCGTCACTGTCATCAAGTGAGATTCAAATTCTGTAGCTCCCTGAAAACCACCCCATCTGGCAAAAGGTTTGGCCTGTTCAATGACGCCCACTCTGAAGTGCCACCTATAGAAAACTGACGGTACAAGCCCGGGCTTTCTGTCGCAGGATCCGAACTGGCGTGTTGTGAAGAGATTCCCGTGAGCTCGATCGTCGTCGCTGCGAAGAGCCTGGTTCTGCAGAAGATGCTCTTCTCCGGGATGCGAGAGTCGGACAAGGGCGCTCCCATTATCATCAGAGTTACCAACGAAGGTAACAATGAGCGCATTTCTACTTGCTTCAGGGGGTGAATTTGATTCAGTGATACTAGCGGGCTGCACTTGAGTCTGTGTCACTCCATTCCTTTGATCATCGTAGCTCACAAAGCCCACGATCTTTTCGGGAGACACACCTGTCGTCGATACTTCGTGCAGAAGATACAGATTCATGGGTAGTCGCTTCCAAGCTTCAATTTGTGAAGCCCGGCCTGGATTGAGATCCCCCAAAGTCCTTACTCGCTCATGCCAGTTCTAATCGCGCTTGATTAGAAGGACAAATTTCACAGAAAACCATATTAGCGGATCGGAGAAGTGGGTTTGCTTCTCTTTGATCGCAGGGACGTTGGATTCACCCCCCATTACATGCCGATAAACTGCAATTTGCATCAGCTCCTCAGCTGTAACGCTTTGGGACAGCTGTCAAGGCAATCAAGCTCGAGTCTTCTCAGCGCTCAGAGTCGTGCAGTCACCCTGGTGGAAAAGAGAGGCTTCGCAAAACATTCTCATCTCACCCACGCGTTTGGTCGAATAGAGTTGGAAAAAGGTATGGCTCATTAGGCTAAAAGTCTCTGCAGGGCAAGGTATGGCTTATTGAAATGACAACCTCATTTCATCCTCTGCAGAGAATGACGCGTTCAAGGAGATGATCCGCTTCTTCTACGCCGGCAGCCTCGCCCCCCGGTTCCACGACCCGGCCACCAATGTGCGCGATTCCGTGCGGCTCCTCGTTCTGGGCGACAAATTCGAGGTTCCGTCTCTGATGGGCGCCGTTCTAGAATGCCTGAGCAAGCGAGAGAAGAGCGTTTCCGACAGTGCCGTCCTCGTAGACCAGCTGCCGGAGATTCTCTTCCAGTTCGAAAGAGTCAAGAGAGCCGTAGACGAGGCACGTGCCCACGTCATCGAGGCGTTCAAGGACGTCAGCGTGACTTGGGACTCTGAAGAGTTTGACCTGAGCCTGAGCCCCGAGGTGCTCGAGATTCTGCTTCAGTCTGAGGAGCTCGAAGCGGACTCCGAGCAAGAGATTGTCGAGAAGAGCCTGGCCTGGATCAGAGGGAGCTACCAGTCTGAAAGTGAGAGGAGACGTCTGGTCGATAAGCTGACGCAGCACATCCGGTTCTTCTGCATCGACGGGGAGTTTCTGGAATCACTTCTCGCCGCTCCGGAGATGCAATCGGAGCCCACTCAAGCGCTTATCAACAACGCTTTTCGATTCCAAGCCTACTCTGACGCGAAGAAGGAAGCACTCGGGAAAGTTGCGTGTCAAAGAAAGGGCGTGCGAGACGTCCACCTGGAGATCATCAGCGAATTTGTTCTGGACGAGCCAGGAACGAGGCTGTCGTCAAGGTCGGCGCTGTGGTTTGGGAAAGAATGGTACGTTGAGTTAGACCAAACGAAGACTCCGGTGCCCACCGTGAGTGTCAACTTGTGCTGCAAGCCTGCTTCCAATGGGTCACCCGAGGCCTCCAGCACCGCGGATGAGGTTGAGGCACAGTTCTTCGTGAAAATCTGGCCGAATGACATCTGGAAGTTCTGCGGCAAAACCGATCCGGAAGCATTCAGCGTCGTGCCAAAAGACGAGAGTAGCAGCGGCTGGGGACTTTGGGGTGCGCTTAATGTCTCCTGGGAGGAGGCGAGAACGTCGGAGAGGTTTTTGGGCAGCACGGGTGCCGTGACTATCAAGGTAGTCGCTCGTCGCTTTCGAAGCCCCAAGCAATAGACTCATCCGTGCGTTGGGTGATATGCGTACGCTTGGCAAGCAACGCAAAGCTTCTTAGAGATTCAGGGTCCGTCGAGGGTTAGAAGCTGAGGGACGGACGTTTTGCTTTGGAATTCCAGTCGCAATCTGCTGAATTGTCCTTAGAAAGAGCCCTTTGAGTTTTCGGAATCTAGATATGAATCTTAAGGACGTTTACGTCTTTGTGAGTTGCTAGTACATGGCTGGAATGTAGAAAGGGGCTCTCGACTGATTAGAAGCTGGATGCCTTATAAGGACATTCACGTCTTTGTGGCGTAACAGTACATGGCTGGACCTGCTCAGCGATTTCCGAAATTTTGTTTCACGGGATCTTGAAGAATCAGAAGGAGCTGCGCCGCAGCGCGGACGAGCATTTGATCTGACATTATTGATGTGCTTGGCGTCCTGAAGGCAGAGTCGAATTTCCTATGAACGGGGCCTGTTCTACAAAGCCTTGCTTTTGTGCTTGCTCTCCGATACGGGTGCATGCCCGATTTCACTGGCCGGGTGGCAGATCCAGATAGATGCTTGCGGTAACGCACTTATACCGGATGTACGTACATCTAATGCACATGGTGCACGTAAGTAGATTGAAATGCAATTTGGTCCACTTAGTAGATAAACGTATACTCTGATAAATGCGACTCGATCCATTATATTGAATTGAACATGTCTTAGTTGCTGATTGGTTACTTGAAGGTAAGCGAGTCATGCGGTGCATGAAGCCAGACCACTTATATATCCGATGCATGCAAAGTTGCTGATCGAACGGTCATATCATACATCAACGTGCAATAAAAGGCGAACTGCACTCGGCAAAATTGTTTGCTAGGCGCGCCCGGGTCGGCCGGGTGATACAATCGTCCTGGTACCTGGCCGGCTAAAGCAGCCGCTCGCTTCTGAACCGAATTAACGGTATGACATATGAACACACTGATGTGCCAGGTGCTCGACTCGGAGTGGGGCCGTTCATCGTGTGCCCCGGCATGGCTGTCTTTTACTGTGCATGGCAGTTCCTTGAGCCTTTTTTGCATGTGCCAGTTCGGACTCTGTCTGCACATGCCACGCTGGCACCATGTAGATGTGCTGGAATTGATGGGTGATTGAAAGCTTAGGCGGACTGTGCATCCTCGCGGCTATTAGTGATTTGCTAAGTGTCCAGATCTTCGACACTATATACGATACTCTTTGTGAAGCTGCCGCTCAGCAATCACTAAGGAAGTGTACAGGGCTTGTCCACACAGATGTCACGCTATCGCACATTTCTGACTTCGATTTGCTAAGCACGACGTCTAAGACTGCATGCCCGCCTTGGCAATTGTTGCACAGCCTGACTGCTTGCCTCCGTGGCGTGAAACCTAGAGCATCCCACTCAACACTTGCACAAACTTGTCAGATCATTCAATCACCAGATCCTTCACTCAATCAATCTCCTCTAACACGCTCCTTGGTTGCCAGCCTCTCGCCCATCCCAACGGCAAAAAGATTCTCAGCAATGACACTCATTCTGTCCGCTTTATTGCGCATTTGCGCACTGCTATCCCGACCGCTGTACACATCCCTTACGCTATTCACAAACCCGCCCACGTCACTCGTCCTCGTCCCCATCCAGCGACTCCTCCATGTCCCCCATCTCCGTCTCGATCGCTGAGGGGGCCTCCGACACGCCCTGGAACGTGTAGTACCGGAACCCCCCCGGGAGCGCCGTCGCCCGCAGCGTCGGCCGCCGTTCCGCCGGAATTCCGTCACGCAGGAACTCGCACGCGTCCTGCAGAACCCCCGCGTGAGAGAACACGTAACCGTGCCCGATGACGCTTCGGTCGAGCCCGGTCGCGTCGATTAGATCGACGGTTTCGGCGAAGGGTAAGTGCCAGGGCCTTGTTCCGGGGTTGCTTGGAAACTCGCCTAGGCGGGGGTGGCCCCCGTGGATCCGCTTCGAGACATGCAGGGCCTGATCGTTGGCGGACGAGTAGATGTTGATTTGTTCCAGCTGCGCGAGGGGGTGTAAACGTAAGGGCGGTCGGTTGGTGAAGAAATCTTGTTTGCGAGTGCGGACGTAAGGGAAAGCGTCGGCGTATGGGACCGGAGTCAGAACCAAGGTTCCGATGCAGATTGTAGTTTCGAAGGAACGGCGTCGTTCAGGTGTCTCTTGAACCACATTTCTCCCCGTTATAGTGACAGACACCTATGGCCGGATACAATATTCGCTAAATATCTACGTCACATTTTCCCAATCCAGTCTGGCAACCTGAGCGCTGCCAGGGCAATCACCCGACAAGTCTGAACGGACAGGAGGAGACGGCAATTTGGCGGAAAGAGGAACGGTACGGCTTGGAGGCATACAGTCTACTTACCCTCTTGCTGAGGTCTTTCTGCATGAGGTAAACCCCCCCCAGGTCGAAGTCGGGCGCCGCGAGCATAGGGATCCAAGATGCGGAAAAGCAGCAAACCAGACGACCCAAGTGGAAAGACTAAATAATTCGTGCAGACGATTGGAACGTTGAAGAAGGCATGCATACACTTACCATTTTGCTGAGGTCTTTCTGCATGAGGTAGATCTCGCCAGGTCGAAGTCGGGCGCCCGCGAGCACACAGTTGCAAGATGCAAAAGAGGAACAAGCCAAAAGAAGACCCAGTCGAAGCAACTGCAAAACCTTGTAGATGATCAGGCGTTTACAACGCGACGACAAAGATGTCCTACCATTTGGCTCAGGTCTTTTTGCATGAGGTAGAACTCCCCCAGGTCGAAGTCGGGTGCCGCGAGCACGAGGCGGCCCAGCTTGGCGGAGCCCTCGGGGAGGAGGTCGGGGCGAAGACGCGCGAGCGCATACAAGATCACGCGGCTGCCCATGCTGCAACGACAGAATTGGTGGCGGTTTCGTCGCGGCCTCCTCTGACAGTCTTGACTTCTTTCAGTTCCTCAACGGTGATTTCAAGTAATTGCGCCCGTGTTAGTGTTGAGCGGCGCGTTTGGTTGCTCGTTAGACAGAAAGACCGAATCTGAGATTCAGAAGCTCGGGACTGTAAGATGATCCCAAGGTGAGTGCTTTGGATACATTAAAGAAGTTTGGGCTGACGCTGCATCGATCCAACAACCGGTATCGACACGCGCCCGCGCTCGTCGTCAGTACATCAGGATAGCAAAGGGCAAAGTAGCCCGGTAGATTATCCGACGTGACCACGAAGCTTGTCCCAAAGGAACCCTGTTTGATCAAAGGCTCCTGAACCAAGATCCACGATCAGCTGCCCTCAGAACGGTCAGTCGTTACATCGACTTTCGGGAGTCCATCAAGTGACAGTTCTTTTGATGCAAACACGACTTATCGTGCCAGTAATGGCGAAATCTCACCACCGCCGACAACTACTTTTGGGTGTTATATTTCGTGACTCGAACTGGTCCATCATCTCTCTGTGCTCCTACCTGTGACCAATCAGGTGCACTTTCTCCAGCTTGAACTCCGTGAGAACACGTGTCAAGAAGTCCACGAAGTGCGGGACGGCCCACATCGCGTTTCCCTCGTCCGCATTGTAACGATCGACGGCCTGCATCGAAAGCGAAGACGTCACTTCGGACGTCACTTTGCCATGCAAGTGGGCAACATCGGTGGCCACATGATCTTTCAAAGCGTATCAGAAGGGCGCTTTTGGAAGGCAAACTCTCGTCGAGATGAAGCGAAACAGGAGAAAAACACTCCTCTGATCCGCTTGGAATGAGGGCCAAGCGGAGATAGACGTGCCGGTTTCCATGTGATAACTCAACAGCGAAGCCAAGTGGCTGAAGAGAAGGAAAGCGGCGCTCGCCTGCCCAATTGAACCTGCTGAATTTCACGTCTGCAACAGAACATCAATGCCAAAGGACGGCTACTCCCTTACAGGCTGCCTACTCATTGAGGGCAAGACGATGTAGAACGGGATGAAAAAGAAAGCGGATCTTATAGGACGGCAAGGAAGACACGAAAAACCGGCACAGACACGACCACCGAAAGGTGCTTGATCGGATCACACTATCGCCCAACAAGGCGACATAGAACGAAAAAGAGAGGCACCGCCTCCCAGGTGGGAAGGCCAACTGAACGGAGCTGAACTTTCAGCCACAGTCGAAGTGTTTGAGAGGGAGGCAAACTGCGCAGGTGAAGCAGACTGGCGATGCGTAATGTGGGCACAAAGAGACACACCGAGAAAGCCGCCCCAATAAGGCCAAAGTTGGACTTGAAGGCAAGGAACCCGAAAGAGCAAGAGCTCATGCCGTTCAGCTTGCAGCTCCTTTAGTTTAGATCGAAGAACAGAAGAAAGAGAAAAGATAATGCCAAGAACGGATGAAAGCTTGGAGGCACAACAAAAGAGCACAATCCCCGAAGTCGAAATAATGATAGAAATGCTAGCACCGCCCCTGGTAGGCCGGCCAGCCATGGAGTGCTATTATCCCACGAGGGCATAAGAGACCACTGGCCACCTGGACAGAATGTCCAGCTCAACAAGAAGCGCGTTGTGATGTCAAAATAGACTGAACTCGGAAGTGCCCAACTCAATCAGGCCGCTGGTTCCAATCTGCCAAGGACAGAGGGAACTAGAGGAAGCAGACATAAAATCAGAGGGGCAGAAAAAACCCAGAGAAGGCAGAAAAAGATATGAGGGGGCAGAAAAGGACTAGAGGGGGCAGAAAAGAACTAGAGGGGCCAGAAAAGGGCGGCGCCCACCTGATAGGACGGCCAGCTGAACATGAAGAGCGGCGCGTCGACGTGCATCTTGTACCCGCAGAGCGCCATCTTCCTGGCCGCGTGGACAAACTTGGAGTTGAACCCGTGCACGTAAATGCACGACTCTCTCGCAGCGACCCCGTGCCCGTGCGCGTGCTGCTGCATGTGGATCTGATAGCGAGACATGTGATGCCTCAAAATGTAGTCGTTCATCCCGATGCACTTCATCAAAACAACGCTGCGTTTGCTTTTGACGGGGCGGAAATTGTCATGGAACCACAGGTAGGGGAGCGTCGAGTGCATCTGCGCGACGTTGTCGGTGTCGGGAATCGATACCCGCGTGACGCCCACCGTGACTTCGTCCGCTCGCTCCGTTCCAAAGTATGCTTCCGACGACTGGCTCCCGCTCGGCATTCGGCACGTCCCGAACCATACGGGCACCTCCATGAACCCTTGGGACGACGACACCCCTTCCACGTAAGTGTTCTCGGTCTTCACTCCCTCCCTTTGCAAACGGTCATACATCCGGTGAAACGTCGCGAGGAGGTCCGCTTTGACTCGCCAGTCAGTGGGCACCGCAACGTTCGCCACGATCGTTCCTGAGACTTTCTTCAAGTAGCACATGACTTCGTCCGCCTCCTTCCAGCTCTTTGTCTGATCTATGATCTCGTCCGTCGCATTGTAGAGCATTGTGTCTGAGATCTCGGTATGGGGGGTCAGGGTTATGGGCTCCAGCCGTATGCGCAGCTCCTCGGCGAAGGGCCCCCATTTTGGCCCCAGATTGTGCTTGATATCGTCGATGTGAACGAGCACCCCAAAGAAGAGCAATGACCGCTGCACGTGCTCAGGGCTCTTGGCATCTGGAACGCGTGGACGAAACACGCTGAACAGGCCGGACGGCCTTATCGATATCCCCACCATGTGGCTAACCCCGTCGGATTGCCCAAACCAAAGTGGTGGTGTTAAAACCCTGCTAAAGTGCAAAACCTGCCAATCAGTCGTGTTCAAACAAAGGGGAAGCCCAATGTCACACTTTGCTCCCAGTCCGTTGACTATGATAATCTCTTATTCTTCTTTGTGGTCCCAATTCGAAGAGAAGTGGTCTGGTGAGGGCCAGGCACAGTGCTAAAACGTTTAGCTGCTTGTGTGGATGCTTCTTCTCTACCACTGTAACAGATGCGCAGCAAGACCTTGAAAACTGGGGGGCCACTGTGCTGCACAGGCCAAGGCTAGAGGCCAGCTGAGGATTAACTCAGCTGGCATTGAAGGAACGACCCCTTGTGGGGCTTTGAGATTCCTCTACAATGCATGACCTGCGAGCACTTGGTGCGATTTTTCAAGCACTGACTGAAGTCTCTTTTGGACCTCAGAGACTGCAAAACGTGCTATGATCTTTGCCACTTTGCAATGTGAAGCATCACGGTGACAATGCAGTTCGACAATGCGATCTGCAGTGCATGCAGTGATAAACGACCGTCTCGTCCCCTTCCCCAGCCAAAGCACTGCTGTGATGGCTTAGATACGAGCTAACCGGATCTAACTAGCTTCTTATCTACCCTTCCTTTTCCAGACACAACTGACATTCTCTAAAGATGGAACAGACGGAATAATTCCCAACCAACTTGACTGTCTGGCACCCGGCAAGACCTGGGCCTCAGCCCCAATGCCCTCATGTGCCTGTTCTCTTGCATGTGGCAATCCTGCTAGAGTCGGAGTCACCATCGCTGTTTTCCCTACATCCACGATGCTTCAGGCTTTCTCTTGCCCCCAACCGCAACCGCTTTTGTTTGCCATTACAGCTTTTCCAGCTCCATTTGCCACCTTCAACTTTCCTGACCCTACACATTCTTCCACCACCAATTACTGCCCCCCTGGTTGCACAGAGGCATCACCTCACACCATTGTTTCTGCAACCCTGCCTACTTCTTCTTATCATACCCAACTTCCCTTTCTACCTACACGTGATCATTCAATGATAAAACCCTCTCTTCATGTTTTCCCTCCAGATATCATGGCCGCCATCATTAGA